CTTCCAGCAAAGATTTGCAGTATTTATATTTTCTTTTATTAATCGCATCCCAGGGCCTCGTCTTCGATTTGTTTCTAAAGTTGTTATCTAAAGGCTTATCGGCTCTGGAGCGGCAACATAAGTGGAGCGGCGACATCATCAATGTGAATGCCGTCATTCCCTTTCCACCTCTGCCAGGTTCATAACAAATTTCTGTTTCAAGTTCTCTATCACTACCATCCCCTATCCATTCTAAAGCTTCAACATATTACCTGAATCCGAAACTGTCTTACTCGTCAGACCAAGAACCCCTGACTTTTCTGATCAGATCGCGAGTACCCTCGGAGTACAGAGTGCAATAGCCCAGGTCATCATATATTGGGCCCATTGGAGCATCTGTACTTGCTGCTTTAATTTTTTTCGACTGCCGGGAATAGTCGGTGTGGACGTATTCTTGCGTAACGCACATTCGGATTTTAAATTGTGCCCTCTCTTCTTCTTCCGCCACACAGACCATGAGCTCGTCAGATGGACATACCCGGTCTGGTTCCAGCTCTACAGATCCTTTCTCCAATCCAGATGTGTACTATGGCAAGAATGAAAATGTCAACAAATTCAAGGCGAGGAGACGTGCATTATCAGTGGTAAGCAGCCACAACGCTTGGACGTTGGACGGCACCCCGCGGGAGAAGGTACAGCAAGCTTATTTTGACTGGGATCTACAGGGTTTGAACGACTACAGCCGCGAAGACATCAACCAATTCTTTGGAACCTTGCCGTCTCGACGCGGTAGCCATGGTATGCTTATTATAAATATGTCGGATATGCGGTTAGTGCAGGAGCTGACAACATCGGACAGATGAGGCATCAGGACGACCTCGGAAGTTCCTCATTGAGGTGGAGGAGACGCTTGCGACTCTCTTGAAGCAAGAAGATACGGACCAGAATATGCAGATTACAATCGAGGACTTGGGACCTAAGGTATGCTTGATGGTGCCAAACACCAAGGACGACTGCTAATTGTTGTAGGTCATCTCGGTCGGGACTGCAGCATCATCCGGACATAAGCGTGTTGATGTGCGGGGCACGTACATGCTCTCTAACCTCCTCCAAGAGCTTACAATTGCAAAAGACTACGGTCGCAAGCACATTATCCTTGACGAAGCACGACTAAGCGAAAATCCAGTAGCGCGGCTGTCTCGTCTAATCAAGGACTCCTTTTGGAATGCCCTCACAAGGCGTATCGATGGCTCCAACATTGAAGTGGCAGGTCGAGACCCCAAAGATTGGACTGCAGATCCACGACCTCGGATCTATATCCCGCCGGGTGCTCAAACGCAGTTTGAATACTATGAGCAGATTGCGGAAGATCACCCCGAGCTGCGTCTTGATGTGCAGATGCTGCCAGCTGTGATTACACCCGATTATGTGATGGGACTCAACGACAAGCCCGGCCTACTTGCACTGGCCATGGAGAAGAAGCTCAATGAATTGACCGGGGAGACTGATTTGGTCGGTGTGCCTTTCGTCGTGCCGGGTGGTCGGTTCAACGAGCTGTACGGTTGGGATAGCTACATGGAATCATTGGGACTGCTCGTCAGCGACCGCGTCGACCTCGCTAAGGGTATGGTAATCAATTTCTGTTTCGAGATCAAGCACTATGGCAAGATCCTCAACGCAAATCGATCTTACTACCTCACTCGCTCGCAACCGCCCTTCCTAACCGACATGGCACTGCGTGTCTACGAAAGAATCAAAAACGAGCCGGATTCAAAGGAGTTCCTGCGCAATTCTGTCCTCGCTGCCATCAAGGAGTACAACAGCGTCTGGGTTACCGCGCCTCGCCTCGATCCAGAGTCTGGTCTGTCGAGGTATCGCCCCGAAGGTTGGGGCGTGCCCCCAGAGACTGAGCCCTCCCACTTCGTGCACATTCTCACCCCATACGCCCAGAAGCACGGAATGACCTTCGAAGAATTTGTTAGGGCATACAACTCTAGGACTATCGTCGAGCCCAAACTCGACGAGTACTTCATGCACGACCGAGCTGTCCGTGAGTCCGGCCACGACACCAGCTACCGCTTGGAGGGAGTGTGTGGAAACCTCGCCACAGTCGACCTGAATTCTCTGCTGTACAAATACGAAGTCGATATCGCGCGGATCATCCGTGTGCACTTCAACGACAAACTCCCCATTCCAGCAGAGTTCCGCACACCCAAAACCCAGGACGTCGAAACTGAGTCCTCTGCAGTCTGGGACCGGCGTGCGCGCAAGCGCAAGCAGCGCATGGACCAGCTCCTCTGGGACCAGGAGAAGGGTATGTACTTCGACTACGACACGGTCAAGAAGGAGCGCCAGGGATACGAAACCGCCACGACCTTCTGGGCGATGTGGGCTGGTCTCGCGTCTCCCGCGCAAGCAGCTATAATGATGGAAAGGGCCCTGCCCCGCTTCGAGGCGTTCGGTGGCTTGGTCTCTGGCACTGAAGAGTCTCGCGGCGCAGTGGGTTTGGAGCGACCCAATCGGCAGTGGGATTACCCATATGGCTGGGCGCCGCAGCAGATGCTTGCCTGGACAGCCTTCCTCCGCTATGGCTATCAGGAAGATGCGGAGCGACTGGCATACAAATGGGTTTACATGATCACCAAGGCGTTTGTTGACTTCAATGGTGTTGTCGTGGAGAAATATGATGTCACTCGTCCTATTGATCCGCACCGGGTCGATGCTGAGTACGGCAATCAGGGCGTGGACTTCAAGGGAGCTCCGCGTGAAGGGTACGTTTTTGTTCTTTTTCCTGTTGTGAATACCTTGCTAATTCGATCGTAGATTCGGATGGGTGAATGCCAGTTACGTCTACGGGCTGGAGATTCTCAATGCGCACATGAGACGCTCGTTGGGAACTATCACTCCGTATGAGACGTACCACAGGGCAGTCGTTGCTCAGGACGCATATTGATTGAATTTGGTGTTGCCGTTGCGTTACAGTCCAGATTGTTGCAGGGGTGTATGGGCGGGATGAGTCGAGAGGAGAATAGAAAATCCACGTAGTTGAGCAGGAAGGATATGGGCATCATCAGGCAGTGTTTACTGTCTAGCGCTGGTTTTTGGTTATTACTTGGCACTCAGTCTTTCCCTTTGCTAAAAGAAGATCAATAAAAGGACGAAAAAAAGAATGGACGACAACGTGTATCCTCGCTTCGTTATGCCAGCAGATTTATTTTTCGCGCATGCCACGATCTATTATGCTTGTAGTAAATGAAGACCCCGCCAAATGAGGTTGACTGTCTGGAGTATATTGTATACCCCAGAACCACAACCCGAACCAAAGCGAAAATAAGCCGATGGATGCCTCGGCAGAGCAACGCGTCCCCGACCGAAAAAAGACCGCATTTCAGAGATCCCGAAGGCGTCATTGTAGGCAGGGCTTTCCGCATCCAGATAATAGACGGGATGCGGAGCTGGGCATCCCTTGTTTTCCCGAGGTAGTTATCGTTGGCTCTGGGGCTGAGGAATTGCGGTATAGGTATATGCACTTATTTCTTGTAGACATTGAGATTTCTTTTGTATATTTGTATGGGTGTGTGGACATCGTTGTCTCGTTAAGCTTATCTGATATCTGATGTTCACCTGGGTATCCATGGAAGAGGCACGCGATTCTTTGGGTTATAAGTGCAAGGATGATACCAAAGATGTTTCCCATAAATCTCTTACGCAGGATCTAAAACTACATTGTTTCGTGGTTTTGTTCCAGACTCTGTCATTGTATAGTTCCTGATTAGTCTTATCGGCGCTGTATGCGGTTAGTTTGGCAGAGCTCAGTTGTGCCGAGGTCCAACTTGTAGGGCCGCTTTGAGTCATTTTTCCTTGAACAGAGTGGACCTCCTGCGATGAGACAGATGCATGTGCAGGTATTTTGAGAGAGTCACCTGTTCCGGTCTGACTTCGTGTAGGTAATGAGGTGCGGTTCCGCATATATGGTAGCGTAGTGTACAGTATACATAAGAGGATGATGGACTGTTGTATATATATCCATGGATCTAGCTGGTCGTTTCAAGACTATACAACTTGGATCTACATCTATGTGGCATAGATAACGAAAAAAGAAATATAAACCCGAAAATCCCCGAAACCATTACATAGAAACTTTGAATACTCGATATATGAAGCATCTCGAGGATTGGTGGAGACCGGTCGATACCGGGCATGACAATACGGCAAGGATGACTCAGGCAGACATTCATTGAAATGTTGCTTCTGGACAGTGTTTCTCTCCGAATGGTGTTGATTTCCTTGGCTAAACTGTAGTATGTGCAGCTTAGTATTACCCAGGGTTTCTACATACGTAGCTTATTTGAAACTATTCCCAACATGAACATGCTCCGAACATTCAATGCAGTTGATGCACGTGAAAATTACATTACGATATGTTTCGTATTGTCACGATAATAGCATGTGTCTTCGACGTCATCCGAGATTTTCCATATATTTTAACATCGAACATTAAACATTGAACACCAACTTGAACGATCAAAAAGGAATGGGTTAAAGAGACCACTTGGGATTATATACTCTATACATCCCAGTGAGATACCGATTACTGTGACATGGAAGATGCAAGTCAGCAGTGGCAAAGGGTTGTCCCATTAGACCGAGGATCATCAGAGCCTGGATCCTCTCTCCCGAGCCCAGTTGTACCCGCCTTCCGCCTTTCGGAGCGCTTCGCCCGTGAAACAACTCTGGGATATGGAGAAATACCTAGGCATTGGAGAGTTATTGGTCTGACTCCCGGTGAGCCGAGAGTTTACCGAGTGTGACGCATTTGAATATTAAATAAGTACTGGCTTTTCTGGCTTGTGATCGCTTCTTCTTCTTTAACTATAGCCTCTCCTCTCTTCTGCTTTATCCTTTTCTACATTTCTTCCATAATTGGAGTATTGGAACAGACGTGACACACTTCTTGCACGCCTGAATATACTATCTGACTATATTTGTACCCTTTCCCTGTATTATACCAAAAAAAAGTCATGGGTCTGCACGAAGACGAGGACCGCCAGTATGCGGCAGAGGTTCAAGCCGTTCAGAACTGGTGGAAGGACTCTCGGTGGCGCTATACCAAACGCCCTTTCACAGCCGAGCAGATTGTGGCCAAACGTGGTAACCTGAAGATCGATTACCCGTCCAATGTGCAAGCAAAGAAGCTCTGGGTATTGTCGAATCAAACTTCCAGGTAAGTTGGGAAATATCGACCCATGATTCTATAGATACTAACTATACATTTCACGAACAGAACAAGCAGGCCAGCTTCACCTACGGCTGTCTTGAGCCTACCATGATCACTCAAATGTGCAAGTTCCTCGATACTATCTACGTCTCCGGCTGGCAGAGCTCGTCTACCGCTTCGTCAACCGACGAACCATCCCCCGATCTGGCCGATTACCCCATGGTACGTTGAATATACTGACGGTATTAAAATTGAGCGCATACTGACAAGTACTCCAGGACACCGTGCCTCGCAAGGTGAACCAGCTGTTCATGGCACAGCTCTTCCATGACCGTAAACAGCGCGAAGAGCGCGTTACTACCCTGCGGGCCAGCGAGGAAACGTTGCCAATGTCGACTACCTGCGACCCATCATTGCTGATGCCGACACCGGACACGGCGGTCTGACCGCTGTCATGAAGCTGACCAAGCTGTTCGTTGAGCGTGGTGCCGCCGGTATCCACATCGAAGATCAGGCTCCCGGCACAAAGAAGTGCGGCCACATGGCCGGCAAGGTCCTCGTTCCCATCAGCGAGCACATCAACCGTCTGGTTGCCATCCGCGCCCAGGCCGATATCATGGGCTCCGATCTCCTGGCCATCGCCCGTACCGACTCCGAGGCCGCCACCCTCATCACATCGACCATCGACCACCGCGACCACGCCTTCATCGTGGGCTCCACAAACTCAAGCATCCAGCCTCTCAACGACCTAATGGTTGCCGCCGAGCAGGCCGGTAAGAACGGTGCTCAGCTGCAGGCAATTGAGGACCAATGGACCAGCCAGGCCGGCCTCAAGCTCTTCAGCGAAGCCGTCATCGACACTATCAACTCCGGCTCCCACGTCAACAAGAAGAGCCTCATCGACCAGTACCTCTCTGCCTCCAAGGGCAAGAGCAACACCGAATCCCGCGCCATTGCCAAGAACCTCACCGGCGTCGACATCTACTGGAACTGGGAATCTCCTCGTACCCGCGAGGGCTTCTACCGCTACAAGGGCGGTACCCAATGCGCCGTCAACCGCGCGATCGCATACGCGCCCTTCGCCGATCTCATCTGGATGGAGAGCAAGCTGCCCGACTACAATCAGGCTAAGGAATTCGCTGACGGCGTGCACGCCGTCTGGCCCGAGCAAAAGTAAGTTCTTTTCTCCACTTTTAGTTTCCCGCATACTAGAGCTTCGAACTAACAAACTCTCCCACTAGACTCGCCTACAACCTCTCACCCTCCTTCAACTGGAAGAAGGCCATGCCCCGCAACGAGCAGGAGACTTACATCAAGCGTCTCGGCGAACTCGGCTACGCGTGGCAGTTCATCACTCTGGCTGGATTGCACACCACTGCGCTGATCTCGCACCAGTTCGCCAAGGCCTATTCGCAGAACGGCATGCGCGCCTACGGCGAGCTTGTCCAGGAACCCGAGATGGAGCAGGGCGTTGACGTTGTCACCCACCAGAAGTGGAGTGGTGCTAATTACGTCGATAACCTGTTGAAGATGGTTTCTGGTGGTGTGAGTAGTACTGCTGCTATGGGTAAGGGTGTGACCGAGGATCAGTTCAAGAACTGATTTGTGGTGCTCATGTTGATACCCTGATGGTCTCGGCTGTCTGTCTATATATGTTCTTGATGTCTTGTTTTTGTTTATTGTGGCGTTTCCCTTTGTTTCTAAACAGTCTTGATTTGATTCCCTGTCGGTCTTACTCTCCTGTTGGATGAGTGAGGTGGCCGATTTATTTTGCATTTTCGAAATCACAGCATATTATCTACATATTGAGTGAATGTGACTTTTTGAAGATATTCTGTTGAAATTACAGATGGAGACTTGTCGAAAGCTCTATAATGCAAAGTTCGCAAACCGTAAACCTCTTGGGAGCCAGGAGGAAATGACCATAAGCCCAGCAATGGACTCTCAAGCACTCACGGGAGGCAGGATAGGAGAAGACCATCTATGAACGCACAGCCCTGAAGATCTGGCTGTGGATGAAGAATCCACCCTTCAGTTCAGGTATAGGCTGCAGAGAGAAAGTCGCCGCATAGGTCAATGGTTTACCGGGCCCATCATCGACCTGGGACATGTCGCTCACAGTTAAATTCCCAGTAACGGCCACCAGAACGCCGTGGTTAGCCGATGGGGTAGCGTCTACAGACGTGATGTGCGTCTTAACAGTCCTCATACTGGGTCCCTGAAGTCGACTAGTTAGATGGATATTCACCGTATGTTCACTTCCAGTGAGAAACACTCACAGTTAAGGCTGATATGATTTCCTGCGTGCCTTGATGTTGAACGCCGTCCCATGTTAACATCGATTCCGGATGCTAGTCTAAGTTAGCTTCGTCTTCGTAGATTCTATAATCGCTTCGTCTCCGGCAAATTCATTGACTAGGACATACGTATAACGAGTCCATGCTGCTCCTTGCGTCCGGGTTATTGAACTTATTATTATAGTCCTGAACAAAGTCGTCTAAATGGAGTTAACAATAATTAGCTGGGTGGATATTTTGGCAGAGTTATGGATAGATCAAAATAGGGAAGTCGGGGCTGCATACGGGATACTGCTTGGACATCCATTGTTGAACGTAACACTTGTTAGCGAACTTGACTCTGAGGCTAATTGTAGTCGAGTGTAAAAGCTTGCAAAATGTACAGAGCTAGTGTTTTATTTGAATGTGGTGGTGGCGTGGAAGAATATGTGATGCAATCGTGACTTCAAACACACATTTATAGTCAAGCACAAGGTACCTAGATAGGTATCCACGGCCCCTACGTAATGTGATAATAGGAAAGTGCTGGCAATTCATTGAATTTGCTAGCATGGAGTTCAGATGTTACTGCCAAGCCTACATGATACTGACACCAAATTCGATGATATGTATTAGTCTAATATAGGTGAAGTTGCCGTGTCATCCTATACACACATACAAGCAGCCATCTACCGGCTGGAGGTAGCTCTGTAATCCAGGCGCTAACCTGTCTCAGGCGGCTGCACCTGAGTGGTTTACATGAAGCAATTGGTCACTAGGCCAAAAGAAACAACCGGAACATCCAATTGTCGCCGAAGCGGTATGTATATTAGGCCGTAGTCTCCGCTACTCTGAATCAGGTGTTCTGATTGTTATAATTTCCGTCTGATAAAGCGAGAGTAAATATAGGCAAGGAAAGTGAGGGAGAAGTGAGAGGAGAGTAAGAGCTGAGGTTAATAAATAACTAGAAGAGAGACCTCTGTTGTTTCAGAAACTATCTGACTTACTATGCTATGCGACTGTAAGGGATATGATTGGCTAAGGAGAGTGGGGCTCGTGCGTTTGCTTCCGAAAAAGGCAATCAACACAACACGACCCGACCTAGAGCTTGCTTTACAGACTTTTCTCAACCTCGACTTTCAAAGAATATGCCAATAATGGAGCGTGAGATATCCCGGTTGCTACGACGTGCGGAAGAAGCCGAAAAACTGGCAGAAGAAGCCGAAAAACGGCTGGAAGAAGCCAAAAAGCGTAATGCGGAGGCCAAAAAGCGCGAGGAGGAGGCCCAGCGACAACTAAGCAGAGAAAGGCTCGAGAGCCGACAGATCCTACAGCTAGTCCGAAAAACCACCCTTCCCGAGTTTCTCGATGCTTGCCATGTCCACTTATTTCTTGGCCTAGCCATACAACCAGATCCGAACTCATCAACCAAAGGCAAGCCGGCAAATGCAGACGATAAGTATCGCCCAGCTAAGATTCGCGAGTGGATGGGGTTTCCGCAGGAGCAGGCCGCTATATGGGCGGATCTCATGGGCGTCGATTTTGTCACCCAGCGCCATTTTTTGTCGCTGCTTATGCTGAAAGAATATGGTAGAGAGGTCCCACAACGAATGTCGGGTTCAGAGCTTGATCTCGGCTATTTTGAACGGCTCACGATCGAGTCGCGTCTCGCCGATATCATCAGGCAACTCTACACAAGCCCGCAAATCCGACGAGTCTTTCACCTTAAGGGAGATGTGACCTTTGAAAACCATGCGAATACATTAACGGACGGGTCAATGGTGGACAAGATGAAATCCATGAGCTTGGAGCCGAAACAACAGGAACTACAGGAACTACAGGAACAACCGCGTCGCTCAGGCCGATTGGCTGCGAAACAGTCCGATAAGTCTCAACTTCCACCTTCGAGTCCGCCAGATGCGGAAAGCCAAGGACCTGTGAAGCGAAAGCAACCTAAACCCCGAGGGGACCAGATTTGTGTGTACAACAAAGCCCCCGAGGAAAGGGTTCCTGTCTTTATCGTCGAATACAAAGCGCCACATAAGCTCACGCTCGCGCATATACTGGCCGGGCTCTCGGACATGGAGGTCGACCAGGTGGTCCATTATCAGGAAGATGAGACGCCAGAAGTCATTTGCCGGCGCGTTGTGGCTGCAGTCATCACACAGGCATTTTCCCACATGATCACTGCGGGGCTGGAGTTTGGATATGTGTGTACCGGCGAAGCATTCATATTTCTTCGTGTTCCACGCGACGATCCTTCCACCGTATACTATTATCTATCGGTGCCGAAAGAAGACGTTGGTGATACAACTGGATGGACCGGTGATCCAAGTGACGACAACAGATTGCACTTAACAGCAATCGGTCAGGTGTTGGCTTTCACTCTCCGAGCTTTGCAAACACCGAGGCGAGGTATGCGGTGGAGCGAGTGGGCAGAGGACAGATTGGTCAAATGGGAAATGATATTTGACCACGTTCTCGGCGAATTATCGAATGTAGAGGTGCCCTCTTCAGAATACAAGCCCCCGCGGACCAGCACAACTTTCGGCCACTTGTCTCTTGTCAAGACTCGATCAAAGTCCACCGCTGCAACATTCGCATCCTGCACTCCTTTGGAGGCTCTGAGTTCGTCCGAGTCTGGTGATTCTCCCGACGGACCCAACTCACACACCCCCAGTCGAAGGCCCTGGGGTCCCCGCGCCGATCACTCAGCCTTGCCCCCATCCTCAGCTGCAACAAAGTCACGAGGAGGACGAGGAGACTCTTCCTCAAAGGGCAAGTCTCGCCAGTATTGTACACAACAGTGCCTCTTAGGCTTGGTCACGAGAGGGAGTTTGGATCAGGAATGCCCCAATGTGCTGGATCATGGAGTTGATCGACATCCAATCAGCAAGGCCACACTCATCCGTCTCTTGGATCGGCAATTCTTCGGGCAAGACCTGGGTCCTGACGTGGAGGACGTGGAGATGGGATGCGAGTCCTTGCATATTCATGGCACACGTGGAGCCCTTTTTAAAGTGACTTTGTTGTCTCACGGGTATACTTTTGTTGGCAAAGGTGTGCCTATCGAGTTCTTTGAACACATCCAACATGAGCAGCGCATGTATTCGCGTCTCCGTCCACTACAGGGGGTGCACGTGCCTGTTGTACTGGGTGGCCTAACTCTCCGTCGATCAATCTCTTACGACGGCATCGTGGAGATTGTGCACTTCATGCTGATGGGGTATGCGGGCAGGACGCTGGCTGAGCGACACGAAATCGAACCAGATCAGCTAATTCGTCTCGCGGAAGTCTCGCTACATGCTATCCACGGATTAGGCGTGCTCCACAGTGATCCAATTGCCGGCAACATGGTCTACAATGAGGATAGCGGTCGGGTAATGTTCATTGATTTTGAGCGAGCGGAGTTCCAGAAAAGACGACCTGCGCTGGAATCTCTGTCGCCGAATCAAAAGTGCAAGCAAGCGACTGACGCATGTGGAAAGAACCCTAACAAGCGCGATAACTTTGAGCTTGAAACTCGGCGCATGAGGCATGCTATGCTATGGTAACTGGTACAATCAGCAGTACATATGTGCTGTATCTATGCAGCCACCTTGGAAGAAGAATTTGTTCTTGCCCAGCTGTGCCGGCGCGCATCTGACGGAATGGACACGATCCAGCCTCGAAGACCCGGAGAACAACACTTACGCTTCTTTCCTTGATGAATCTACGAATCTTTCAGCAACTAGCGTTCAAATGTTTGGATACCCCAATTTAGTTTCAATGCTTTTCTTGTTTTTCTTGTCTTTTTTTTTTTTGAATTTAGGTAGTCATAGGTTTACAAATAGTACTCTGTATGTTGACTTCCTAAATACGTTTAATTCCCATAACTGGCACAGTGTCAACGCCAAGCTAATAAGATTATCCCCACTTTTTGATTCGGCTAGAACATAACTTTGCAGAAAACCAGTGTCGATCGTATTCGAGCGGGGCAGTTCGTGTGAAGCCGCGGTTACTTTGATATGTCGTAGTAGCATTGGTGTAATAGGTATTAATAGGTATTACTGCCTGAATCCATACATATACCTACTAGTAGGTATATATGTATTCATATCCTCAAAGCGAAACACATCGGCGCAAAGACCGAAACCAGAATGGGCCGAGAGCTCGGAGCATGTGCGGAGCCTCGAACGTTTGAATAGGGGTACAATAGTACAAATAGTACGGAGGACTCCGTATACAACGTAGGTAGGAGCACAATGCGGAGTACTAAGTACTGTGTACTCCGTACAAAAGTAATTATATCAGAGTGATGCAGGTACATACTACAAAAAAGTAAATTACCGTATGTAATTACTGCGGGAATGGCCGTTGTATGTTGTAGATCCTATTATGCTGCCGCTATGGGTAGCGGGGAGTGCCCACACTTATATACCCAGAACCTCTCGCACTTTTTCCTCTACACTCTTTTCGTTAACTTATCTTAATTTATTCTCATCATGGTTGACCTACCTGAATTCAAAGCTACGTCGCTTGACGAGATCCCTGCGCGTGTCTCCACGGCCCGCAAGGCGTTTTATGAGCACAAGACCCGCGACCTGGAGTTCCGCCTCGTCCAGCTGCGCAAGCTGTACTGGGCGTGAGTATTGACCTCTTTTGTCTTTCCGGTCAATTAACTAACACTCCTCCAGCATCAAAGACAATGAGGAGGCGATTATGGAGGCCTGCGCCCAGGACCTGAACAAGCCTCGGTTCGAGACCAACCTCGGAGAGAGCGGATGGCTCCTGAACGACATTGTGTTCACTACGCGCAACCTGCGCAAATGGGCCAAGGATGAGAAGGCCTCCGATATCGATCTCGCCTTCAAGTTCATGAACCCTAAAATCAGAAAGGATCCTCTCGGTACTGTGCTGGTCATTGGGTACGTCTCCTCCTTCGCGATGCGCCTGATAAAATTCCCCGAAGGCTAACAAGCTCTGTCTCCTCTAGTGCCTTTAACTTCCCCTTCCAGCTGACTCTCGGCCCCGCCATCGGTGCCATCGCCGCCGGAAACACAGTCGTGATCAAGCCTAGCGAAAATGCTCCCCGCAGCGCGGCTCTTATGCAAAAGATCATCGAGGCCAGTGTCGACCCCTCATGCTACACAATTATCCAAGGCGGTATCCCCGAGACACAGGCCTTGCTTGCCGAACGATGGGACAAGATCTTCTTCACTGGCGGCGCCACCGTCGGACGCATCATCGCCAAGGCCGCTGCACAGCATATGACCCCCGTCGTACTCGAGCTGGGCGGTATCAACCCAGCTATCGTGTCCAAGAATGCGAACCCGCGTCTTGTCGCCCGTCGCATGCTCTGGGGTAAGCTCCTGAACGCCGGCCAGGTCTGCACCTCGCAGAACTACCTGCTGGTCGACAAGTCGCTCGTTTCGGAGGTCGTGCAGGAATTCAAGAACGCGTACAAGGAGTTCTACCCCCAGGGTGCTAAGGGCTCGCCTGATTACGCGCGCATCGTCAACGAGGCCTCCTTCGCCCGTCTCAAGTCCATGCTTGATAGTACTAAGGGCAAGATCCTTATGGGTGGCACTATGGATGAGAAGGAGCTGTTCATCGAGCCGACCGTTGTCCAGGTCGACTCGGTTGATGACTCCCTGTGCTCGCAGGAGAGCTTCGGTCCCTTCATCCCCATCTTGCCCGTGGAGAACCTCGATGAGGCCATCAGCCTGGCCAATGGTGTACAGAGCACGCCGCTGGGTCTCTACCCCTTCGGCAACAAGGCCGATGTCGAGAAGAGTAAGCTTCTTTTTTCCTGTCCTGTCTTATATCTGATACCCCGTAAAGGCAGCTATTTTAACCCTCTCTCCTAGTTGTGTCTTGCACCCGCTCCGGCGGCGTTTCCTGCAACGATGCCGCGCTGCACATCCCAACCCTGCCCTTCGGCGGTGTCGGCGAGAGTGGCTACGGTGCCTACCGCGGCCGCTCCAGCTTCGACGTCTGGGTGCACCGCCGCCCCATCACCTCCAGCCCAAGCTGGCTGGAGTCCATCCTGGCGATCCGCTACCCGCCGTACGCCGGCAAGATCAGCAAGTTCAATGCTGCCAGTGCTCTGCGCCCAGACTTTGACCGCAACGGCAAGAAGCTGAGCTGCGGCTGGCTGCGCTGCATCTTCACCTTGGGTGGAGGCAGTGCGAAGGCTGGAGCTGCTAGAGCTACTGCTCTTGCTGCCAGTAAGTGATCCTCTTATTTTCCTGCTCAATCTTTTCGCCATTTCTGTGAATATTTCCCACATCTTGCACATATCTGTCTCGTGGGTGGCTTAATCTGGTCTTGGAGACTTCTCTCCTTCGGATGAGGAGAACTAAATTCCGAGGCCCCTATACCATCCCCGTCTGTGGCTCTTATATGGTCCAGACGATGAAACGCATAATCCCTGCCTATCCAATATACCCCCAACCTCATGTACCGCCTTAATTCTGTTCTACCCCCTCCGAGGATGTCTTCTTTACCATTCCTTACACTTTATCACCATTTTACCCCCTTCCTTTCAACATGTCATACCCCGGAATCGAGAAAAAAAAGATAAGCTCATAATCTGCGAATATGAATGAATCTTACCTTTCATTCTATTGCGTTTTCACGTCTGCTTCAATCTGCAGCTCATACCTATCAAACCTTTTGGAAATTACAGTCTAACCCGTAATAGTTGCCTACATCGTCCTGCAGGTCCTTGAACGCCGATCTTCGAAATTGTGAACGTGAACGCTTCCCCCTGAACTTGGATACCCTTTTTGATCGACACTATTTTATCCAAAGCAGTCGCTTAGGGTCGGCCCCGCTGCTTTGGTGCTGATCACTCCTCGTCTTGGAGAAGTTGGACGCGGCTTGGATTAGCATGTGCGCATGTTTTTGGGATCTTTTATAGTAAAATAATTTTGCCATTTAGGTGAGTATGTATTTTTGGATTTAATTGCCTTTTGGATTAGGTATGCTTTTGTTTCTGATAATTTCTGATATTTGAGCCATGTATATTTTCAATTCATTTATTTTTGGTTATTTTGGTGTATTATACCCTGTAAGCGCGTAGTTTATCTATATGTAGACATCACCACATTATGGATTGGCATTGGAGCCCCGGAGCTCCCATAATAAAGGAAGCATGAAAGACCCTGTACAAAAAGCAAGTCTACAGCATTACACCAAAGTAAACCCCCTCGTTAGAAGTAGACAGATCCAACATCCATATCATCATTCATGCTGTCAAATGCAGTGATTATCGAATGCGCTATCCCAGACAAATGCCTCTGTCCATCTGACCGAAAAAGGAAACTAAATCGAGTACATCGGGCTCTAGCAGCGCCGTTCCACGCCGCGATTACTAACGCACAGGTACTTCACACCCTTGTAGGGCTTGACGCTTTCGCCTAAGCCGCGACTGCGACGTTGGTCGATGTTGAGACTGTCCACTTTGATACCAGAGGGAAGCCAGCCTCGCACGGAGAACGATACTGACGCCGAGTTGGGCATCAGGCTTGCATTGACCTGGGCTTTTGTTCGGCGCGTGGGACGGGAGGTAGATAATGGAGCGAAGAATGCGGGGAGGTGGGCGCTATACTGGGATTGTGATTGTGATTGGGGAGGGGGGTGTGGGGGTCTGGGGTATGGAGCGATTTGGGGATGGGGTGGTAGCTGCAATGGGGTCTTCTTCCGCGTCTTCTGGTTGTAAGGCAGCGGAGCGGGAGGTCTTTTTTGTTGACTTCTTCTTCTTCTTTTTGCGCTTGGAGGGGTCGGAGGATCGGGTTTTCTTTGATGTACTGCCCGTTGCATCGTTGTAGGAGGTAGGCGCCTCATAGTAGCCTTGCAAGAGGTTGGCATTGGCGTCTTCGTCGGCATCCCCGACGCTGTCTTCGAGGTCATCGTCAGCGGATGGATAGCCTGAGACACTGCAACGCAGTGTGGCAGTGCCAGTCAATGTTCCTGCATCCTTGCCAGTGGGAATCCGCCACTCTAGTAGCCCGGTTGCGGGGAGGAATTGAGCGTCACCACGGCTGGCCTGCATGTCCGTGATATGGCGGACGGACTTTGAGATCGGTACGCTAACGACAACCTCTTCAAGTGCCGGTCCGGAGCTTCCACTTCCGCCCCCACCTAGGAAAGACGGCGTTGATGCGCCGGATCCGCTTCGGGTAGCTCCAGGCCGCGAGGATGAGCTTTGGCCCGGGAAATTTGTGTTCAAAGTCAGTCGAACCTCAAACTCGGATCCAGACGGCCCGAGTGATTTGCGGATATCCACTATAGCAGGCAAGAAAAGCTTTTCCATATGGCTTGGTGGCTCGTCCAGGTCGGGATCTATAGGAAGGAGATCCACTTCATATCCAGCCAAGATAAACCGCCCATCCGGGGGGATGAAGCTGAGCTCCCCCGGCCGTTCCTTCCATCGCGCCAGTCTGACACATGGGTGAAACACTGGTAGCTCGATCTTGCGGCCAAGCACATGCTGCCCACCGGGTGCTGATAACGATAGCAGTAGGTCCGGGACTCCCGATATCTTCGCAGTGAATGCAATGGTCCCAGATACTAATGCAGAGAGCAGTCGTCCTGAAGGAGCCATAGTAACAGATAGAGATTCAATGATGTCGACATATAGCTCATTAGAGGTATGTCGTACACCGGGCCGTCGCCAAGGAATGGCGGGTCCTTGTGATACACTGGCGGCAGCGAGAGATTGCTTGAGAGAATTGGTAGATCCTAGAGCTGGTGTAGATGTCCTAAACCCACATGAACTCATTAATACCAGGTAATATCTCTTGCAAGGTCAAGAGCTAGAGCTGCTCACCCAGGTACTCCGATTCCACCTAGCAGCTTCCCCATCCACCCGGGAACCTCAACAACCTCCTGCAATGCATTGGGTTCGGTATTGCATACTGTTCCGCCATCACACATTTCATTAAGAAGCTGCGCAACAACATTGTAATTTGCCTGGACCTTAGTTGAAAGCAGCGGTGCTCCAACAAAGTCCTCGAGCACATCGATCACGCGGTGCAGGAACTCGAGTGCTAGAAGGGGCTCCGTGTCGACTTCGCTTATTGCAAGAAACAACAGATTCGACTCAACCGTCGAGAATACCGTCACCGGCGGTGAAGCGCTAGGAATGTACAGTAAGGAAGGGCGTGGCTCGGCATGGGCAAGGTAGAGGGGCAGGATGGCGGAGGCCGAAGGCGGGCGGGATCGATATACATGTTCGACGAGAGGGGCGCTAGGGAGGACGGGTTAGTGTGATCTTGCAAGGCGGGTGCGGAATATCCCACTTTTGCTCGTCATATATGTAGACGGCATCAATCTCGCCGCTCATGGTGACAGTTGTCTGATGATGAGATTACTCTGCTCGGCGTAGATCGCATAGCTCTCTTGTTTTGCCGCCGATTCCCGCCTTCCGATAACTTTTTGGAGACAGACAGACATCAACCCATACGGTTCTTGTTCTGAACATTATCGAAATACCCTCTATACACATTCGTCCCCTCTGATAAGAGCGCTATGGATACCCAGCCGAAAAACGCCAAGCAGGCTCTGGCCGAGGATAAGTACGACGACTGTTTGTCCTGCAGAGTAACTGGTATGCTTTATTTTTGGCCCTGTGATCTGGGCTTGTACTTTACTAGCATTTGATGTGCTGACATCCTGCAATAGGATCTGCTGCTTTTATTGGCCTCGGAGTCTACAGCTACTACACCGGAATGACCAATCTCCGGAAACAAGAGAAGGCTATCATGCAAGGTCCCACAAAATACAAGATGGGCTCGCGCAAGTTGGGGATTGCCTCGATCTCTGCGACATTAGTGGGAATGGGGCTGTGGCGGGCGTTTAACTGAGCATTGTATATTAAACACATACTAGAGCATACGGGATGTGTCGGAAGCGAGGGTTGTGCAAGCTGGTTGTTTCCAAGGTTGATAGCGAAGTGCAGGTTGGAAGCTTTGTAAGATATTGATTGTTATTTAGTCGCAAGCCAATGATAATTGCCACTCCGGGTATCGGGTATCACCACAGGCATATCCGTCTATATGCTATATCACGAGGGTGAGGGGGGAAAAATAAAAAAAAAGAGACAAGAAGACATCAAAGAAAGCCAAGGAAGAGAAGAACAAAACGAAACCATATGCAAAATGCCCCCTTCCTTGTTATGCACCCGAAAAGCACCTTCATACCCGAAATCTCAACCAGCCACTGTGTGACAATCAGAAGGGAATGGTCGTCACTTCGTCATCATATACTGCTTCGTCTAGGTCGCGCCCTAGGTAAAGCGGCCTCGTTTCCCACCACCTCCTGACGCATCTCGTCCGTTGTTAAGACCTGACAGATCGAAGAAATCAGGGAAAGTGAATTTCCTCTTGGACCCAATACTAGCGGGAGACTCCCGTGGCGAAGGGCGCGCATTTGATCGTGGGTGGTTGTTGTGACGATGGTGTGGTCGACTGTTCCGAGGCATCACTGAGACGCTCACAGGAGCCCCGTCCTGCATGGTTGCAGATGAGTTGTCTGACGACGGCACATCCATGTCGAGCTCTTGACACTGAGGGTATGTAGGACCAGCAGAGAATGTGAAGACGGCAGGTGTGGCGAAAGAAGGTGTTTCTTGGAGTTGCGTGGGAGGAGTGATCGATTCTGGCTTGGATGCAGGTACGGGCGCTGAAGTGGGGGGGGTTGACGAGCAATCGGTTCAGGTGTAGGTTTTTCTTTGCGAGTAGTAGCTGGAGTAGCACTTCGGTCACGCTTGTCGATCTCTGCGTCTTCATCGCTACTTTGTGACCCAGTTCCATCACATTTTTCAGTTGCCCACTGCCGAACCTTCCACCCCTCTCCGTCCCCGAGACCGAGGTTCTCACGGTCAAGGAAGTGGAGCAGATCCTCTATCGCATCCTGGTATCCTAACGACCTTGCCTGGGCTTGTTCACATACTGCATTCTTGTACAGGTTTGTGACAGATAGAGCTGCCGCCTTGAATTGCTGGAGGAGTTGCTCCGGAGGTTGCGGGCGGGGTGTCGAGCTCGGAAGAGAGGTGTTGAGGGACCTCATGGAGTCCATGGCAGGAAAAGATGTCAGGGCCCTGTTGGGCAATGGTTTTGAGGACGAAAGTGTTTGCGTTGAGAACTATGCCGTATGCCGTGCGCCGTGCGTCGTTCGTCGGTGGCCAAATGGCGATACCAAAGAGCTTGGAGGTGGTGCAAGAGGGAAGTTGGAATGGGAGAGACTGTAGCAAGAAGAAGGCAAGAGCCAGCACAGCTAGAATCAGAGATATAGAGGTAGTTGTTCACCCAGCTGTGCAACAATAAGCAAGATGTGTCAACGGAGGAACTTTCAATTTCAAGGTTGTTGCAGATGACCGCCCTGGCCCGGTAACGAGAAGCCCACTTTCCGACGGAATAACAATATTCCATACCGCAGGCCCTACCGAAAGGCGGTATCTTGATTTGCCATCGACGCGCTTTGAATACCTTCAATAATCCTGGTCTAGAATTGTTCAATAGCATTCATTATATGGGACCCCCATTGATGAGTTGCTTCAAATTTTAGACTACCCTGGACTATATTTGGACAATCGTCACTTCCTCACGACTCCAACCCTAGCTGGTTCTTCCTGCACTACGCAATCCGACTAATCGCGAGCTTCCGATATTCTTTGTTGCACGCTCAAAGACGTGTTTAAACAGCCAGCGCACCTGCACTCTGTGCACCAAAGATAAATCATGGCTCCTGCCCTCGCGTCTGATCCGGTCTCGCAGGCTGATACTCCCATGACTGATACAAATGACGACATGGTCCCTTCGGTGCCCGTGGATAGTGCCGACGCGCAAATGGTATGTGAGATTGTTCCTACTTGTCTAGAACAAACTTCTGGCATGACATCCCATATGTATCTCTGCACTTTTTGTTCCAAGCTCATGCTAATATTTCTTTCGCAATCCAGAGCCGCCCAGACACCCCAGATTACACGGTAAAGACACCCTTCGTCTACAACACTGTGTGTTAGGGAAGGAAAGTTGCTAATTATCTCAACAGGACTCTGACACAAATCCCAACACCACTGAAAGCAGCGTTGCGGGCGACGCGGCGGCTGATGGACGTAGGCGCAGATCTGAGGCCAACCACCTCAGAAAAAGCATCCTAGGCAAGAAGCATGGCCGCCTCGATAATACGAAGGTATGGGCGATAGAATAAGATTGCTGATGATCCCTTTGCTGATACATGATGTTTTGCAGGAGGATGACTCGATTCGCCGATTCCGATACCTTCTTGGTCTCACTGACCTGTTTCGCCACTTCATCGATACGAACCCAAACCCTCGGATCAAGGAGATTATGGCGGAAATTGACCGACAAAATGCAGAGGCGGATGAAAAGGCCCGCAAGGGCTCTAAGCGCTCCGGGGGTGCTGGTGGTGAGCGGCGCCGCAGGACCGAACAAGAAGAAGACGCAGAGCTGCTCCAAGATGAAAAGCAAGGCGGCGATAGCACCACCATCTTCCGAGAGTCACCAGCATTTATCCACGGTGAGCTGCGTGATTACCAGGTTGCAGGCTTGAACTGGCTCGTTTCGCTACATGAGAACGGTATCTCAGGTATCCTGGCCGATGAGATGGGTCTCGGCAAGACCCTGCAGACGATCTCGTTCCTAGGCTATCTACGTTACATCCGCGATATCAACGGGCCTCATTTGGTCGTCGTGCCGAAGTCAACCCTGGACAACTGGAAGCGAGAGTTCGCAAAGTGGACCCCTGACATCGACGTCCTGGTGCTCCAAGGCAACAAAGAAGAACGACAGCAATTGATTAACGAGCGCTTAGTCGAGGAGGAGTTTGATGTTTGCATCACCAGTTATGAAATGATCCTCCGCGAGAAGTCGCACCTGAAGAAGTTTGCCTGGGAATACATTATCATTGATGAGGCCCATCGGATCAAAAACGAAGAATCGTCATTGTCGCAGATTATCCGTCTTTTCAACTCCCGCAATCGGTTGTTGATTACTGGCACTCCGCTACAGAACAATTTGCATGAACTGTGGGCTTTGCTCAACTTCCTTCTCCCAGATGTCTTCGGCGATTCGGAAGCATTTGACCAATGGTTCTCAAATCAAGAGTCAGACCAAGACGCTGTGGTACAGCAACTCCACCGTGTTCTCCGCCCTTTCTTGCTTCGACGTGTGAAGAGTGATGTCGAGAAGAGTTTGCTGCCGAAGAAAGAGCTAAACCTCTATGTCCCAATGTCTGAAATGCAACGGAGGTGGTACCAGAAAATTCTGGAGAAAGATATTGACGCTGTCAACGGCGCCGCTGGGAAGCGCGAGTCCAAAACCCGCTTGTTGAACATTGTCATGCAACTGCGGAAGTGTTGCAACCATCCCTACCTGTTCGAGGGAGCTGAACCAGGTCCTCCGTATACGACCGACGAACATCTTGTTTTCAACTCCGGAAAGATGGTCATTCTGGACAAACTTCTGAAGCGCATGCAAGCGGATGGTAGTCGTGTGCTCATCTTCTCTCAAATGAGCCGTGTACTGGATATTTTGGAAGACTACTGTTGTTTCCGAGACTACAACTACTGCCGTATCGATGGTACTACGGCACATGAGGATCGCATTGCTGCCATTGATGACTACAACAAACCCGGATCCGACAAATTCGTTTTCCTTCTTACCACCAGGGCGGGTGGCCTGGGTATCAACTTAACCTCAGCCGATATCGTCGTTCTCTTCGATAGTGACTGGAACCCGCAAGCTGATCTGCAGGCCATGGATCGAGCCCACCGCATTGGTCAAACCAAGCAGGTCAAAGTTTTCCGATTCATCACAGAGAAGGCCATTGAAGAGAAGGTTCTGGAGCGAGCAGCCCAGAAACTACGCCTGGATCAGCTTGTCATTCAACAAGGTCGTTCCGGACAACAGGCCAGCAAAGCATCTTCGAAAGAAGACCTCCTTGGCATGATTCAGCACGGTGCTGCCGACGTCTTCACCAAGGGCACGGATGCAACCGAAATGGCCGAAGATGAGGATATCGAGACTATCCTGCGTAAAGGTGAAGAACGAACTGCAGAGCTCAACAAGAAGTACGAGGCGCTCGGCATTGATGACTTGCAGAAGTTCTCCTCCGAGAGTGCATATGAATGGAACGGTAAAGACTTCACCGAGCGGAAGAAGGATATTGGCATCAGCTGGATCAACCCAGCCAAGCGTGAGCGCAAAGAGCAATTCTATTCCATTGACAAATACTACCGCCAAGCCTTGGCCACTGGAGGCCGAACCGCCGATACAAAGCCCAAGGTCCCACGTGCCCCTAAACAAATCACCGTCCACGACTGGCAATTCTTCCCTCCTGGTCTCCATGAGCTCCAAGAGAAGGAGACGGCCTATTTCCACAAGGAAATCGGCTACAAGGCTCAATTACCTGAAGGCCCCGAAGAGGAGCTCAGTGAGCGAGAGGCTGAGCGGGATCTTGAACAACAGGAGATTGACAACGCTGTCCCGCTTACTGAGGAGGAGCAAGCCGAGAAAGCTCGCATGTCAGAAGAAGGCTTTGGAACCTGGAACCGACGTGATTTCCAGCAATTTATCAATGGGTCTGCCAAGTTTGGCCGCACCGACTACAAGGGTATTGCCACTGAGGTGGACAGCAAGGAACCCGATGAGATTAAGGAATATGCCGAAGTCTTCTGGCGCCGATACACCGAGATTCAGGACTACCCTAAGTACCTCCGAGTTATTGACCAGGGTGAAGAGAAGGTACGGAAGATAGATCACCAGCGGAAGATGCTTCGCAAGAAGTTGGAGATGTACCGCGTGCCGCTTCAGCAGCTCAAGATCAACTACACCGTGTCCACCACCAACAAAAAGGTTTACACCGAGGATGAGGACCGATTCTTGTTAATCATGCTGGACAAGTATGGCGTCGAGGGTGAGGATTTGTATGAGAACATCCGTGAAGAGATTCGTGATTCGCCTCTGTTCCGATTCGATTTCTTCATGCTCAGTCGTACGCCGGTGGAAATTGGTCGCCGCTGCACTACCCTGCTGAACACCGTGGCGAAGGAATTCGAGCCCAGCGAAGGCAAAGGCCGCGGTCGTGATCGTGACGAGGAGGAAGAGATGGAAGAAGCGCCTCCTGCCAAGAAGAAGGCTAAGAACGGAGCTGCTGTAAGTTTTATCTGATCGATTACTTTATTACTTCGGATTCGGATCTAACTTGATTTTTTTTTTTACAGCCGGCCAAACAGGGTAAGACCACCAAGGGTGGTAGCAAGACTGCCTCTGCCGCAAGCTCCCGAGCTCCTAGTACTGCAGCGACTAAGTCTAAGAGTCGCAAGAGGTAATGTGGATTGAGGGTCCACGAGTGTGTACGTTCCCTAGTTTGCTAAGGTTATTGGTGATTCGGGTATTAAGGACGGGTTTGTGATCGGCGCGGATGTTTTAATGTACTTTTGTAATTGAAATAGAGTTACTTGTTTTACTTCTAAAGGCTTATCGTGCAATCCCTGTATATTTCCTGTTCAGAGATTCCCCTGACCGGAGTCCGCTTCACCGTGCAGATCGAATACCACCTCCATCACACTGCTGAAACAACACTAATCCCAAGTTGTCTGTAATGACGGAATTCAGGTTTCTAAGATTTCGCCTCCATCAAATGACTTCGCTAGGCATCGCAATACTTAAAAACCATGACGACGTTTGTTTCAAACACCTATAATATTGCAGCATAAATACTCAGGGATCTCCCCAGATCCCAGCCATCCATCCTCAAAAATCTCGAATCAACACCATCTAAACACCCCACCATGACTAGAATCAAGCTCCTCGCAAACCCACACTACCAAAAGTCCGGCACGAAGTCATACTTGTATGCCATGCGCAAGTATCGCTTCACACCGACCAAGGACGGTCCGTATTTCCTCGGCACGAGAATGGTACAAACAGGACGACAGTTCACCAATAAGCCCGTGGGAGGCCGAGCTCGGTTGCAGCAGGTGTTACAGAAAAAGGACGCTGTTAGCGATGAGGTCGGACAAGTGGGTGCCCACGACGTGCAGAATGACTCGATGTATCTTGCCGAAATTGGCATTGGCACGCCTGCACAGACGCTCAGTTTGGACTTCGATACTGGATCTGCGGATCTGTGGGTAAGAAGATACTTTTTTTGGGCTATGATGTGAAAGCTACTAAGAGTGACTAGGTCTGGTCCACGGAGCTATCGTCTAAGATTCTGGCGGCGAACAAGAACCACACAGTCTTCGATCCGAGCAAATCGAGCACATTCAAAGAAAAAGACGACTCGACGTGGCAGATTAAGTACGGCGATGGCTCTTTTGCCTCTGGCACGGTCGGCAACGATAATGTCAATATCGGCGGTCTAGTCGTCAAAGGCCAAGCTGTTGAGATCGCTGATATCTTGTCCGAGCAATTCGCGCAAGGTGCTGGGGATGGACTGCTGGGACTTGCGTTCAGTAATATCAATACCGTCAAGCCCGAGGCTGTAAGCACGCCTGTGGAGAATATGATCTCGCAGGCTGACATCCCGCAGTCGGCTGAGCTCTTCACGGCGAAGTTGGGGTCCTGGAGAGACACTGATGAGCCGGATAAGGGCGAGTCGTTCTATACGTTTGGTTACATTGATCAGGACACGGTGAAGGCCGCTGAGGCTGAGATCTACTACACGCCTGTTGATAACAGTCAGGGGTTTTGGATGTTCGATTCTGCCTCGGCGACGGTGAATGGAAAGTCGGTTGCTAGGGCTGGAAACAGGGCTATTGCTGATACGGGGACTACTTTGGCGCTGGTGGATGATGAAACTTGTCAGGCCATTTATGATGCTATCCCGGGGCAAAGTATGATAATGCCAGCCAGGGATGGATCTTTCCATCCAATACACCGGCTGATAAGTTGCCTGTTGTATCTTTTGCTGTTGGTGAGAAGCAGTTTGTTGTGCAGAAGGAAGATCTTGGATTTGCTGAGGCTGGGTCTGGTTATGTCTATGGAGGTATCCAAAGTCGTGGTACTATGACTATGGATATTCTAGGTGATACCTTCCTGAAGGCTATCTATGCAGTGAGTGATATGCCTTTTTAAGAGTCCACAGACGTACAAACTAATCCGGTGATTAGGTCTTCGATGTGGGCAATCTTCGCTTTGGTGCTGTGCAGCGAAAGGAGCTTCATCAGAATCTCTCTGTGCCTTCTGAGTCCGGCTAGGCATATGCATCATGTAAATGGGGTCGCGGAACTTGCTTGATGTACACCCGGGCATTCCAGATGTTCATTTACTACATAATACACTTGCCGCTATATGAACAGGAAGAGAAGCATGCTACGATCCACCAATAGAAACAATCCCACCACCAAGTGAAAAGCGCCTTTATATGCATACCCAAATCATAGTATCACAGGTCTGCCCATTGGATGACGGGCTTGATAACCTGTAGGGAGTACATTTGTTAGCTTGTCTCGTGAAAACATTGATTTTGGAACACTTACACTTCCAGAGTGCAAATCTGCCATGGCTTGCTCAAAGTCGCTCGGGGCATAGATTTTAGCAAGCTTATCGACCGGGAATTTCCCTTGTTTGTATAGATCAATCAGTTGTGGAACAATCTGGAAGAGGAACAGTTAGTCATGGCTCAAGTGATTTTCCAAGGTTATTTTCAAAAAGCAAACTTACCACAGCGGGATTCGCACAGCCCTCAATAACACCAACAACACGCTGACAACCCATCATGAGTTTCAAAGGATCGATATTGAGAGACGAGCCAGCACGAGCAACACCCACAATAGCTAGGGTACCTTCATGACCCAAAGCTTTGACTGCAGCCTCGAGCAAAGGAACTACACCCGTCGTGTCGAGGATACAGTCCACGCCATCCGGGAATATATCCAATAACCCCTGCGCAAGATCCGATACACTCTTCGTATTCAACGTATGCGATGCACCAAGAGACTTCGCCAGCTCGAGCTTCGCATCAACAATATCAACCGCGATAACAGTTTCGACTCCCTGAGACCGGGCAGCCAACATAGCCGCCACCCCAACAGCACCCATACCAATAACAGCAAAGCGATTCTTCGGTGTAGGCTTGAGCACATTAAAGACGGTACCAGCACCAGTGAGATATCCACAGCCAAGAGGAGCAAGGACCGCCATGTCCTCGACCGTGACTCCAGATCCGGGAGGGGACTTGACGACCGACCGCTCGTCAACCACAGCCAGCTTACTCATGGAGGACTGGCCGAAGAACTGGCCTCGGATTGGGCTTCCGCCGGGGAAAGAGATGGGTGACTCGGCAGCGGTGAGACCCCGAGCCCCGGCGAAGTTAATGGATGTCATCTGGTCGCAGAATCCGTTTCGGCCTTTGCTGCAGGGGCTGCAGGATTCTTGGTGGCAGGAGCTGAAGCTTAGGAAGACAAGGTCGCCCTCTTGGAGGGAGTTGTCTTTGACGGCGCTGCCGACGCGACGGACTATTCCGGCGCCTTCGTGGCCTAGTACGGCGGGATAATCACCGACTGGGATTGCGCCTTGTTGGACGACGATGTCCTAAGGATTATTTTGTTAGTTTCGTTCATTGGTTGTTTGATGAAATTCATTGCGGAATGGAGGATACGTACTGTGTGGCAAAGGCCAGTATACTTCATTTCAACTAAGACTTCATTTGCCCGGACTTCATCAAGAATTATATCTTGAAGGACAAAAGGCGCTCCTGGTTTCTCAACCACGAATGCGGTGGTTGGGATCTGTTTTTCTGGGATCATGATGAAAATATAAGGATCTTCCTATAGAGTGAGGTATATGTATCTGTCCATAAAAGATAGAAACATATCTTCTAGGGTTGAAGGGGGACGTTCTTAAGGAACTTCCCCCGCAGCCCCCTTTGTTTCCCCACAAAACTTCGGCCGCGAGTTTCGGTATATCTCAAGGTCTCCTTTTTCTTGATGGGAAATACATATATTCTCCGATTTTGCTTGATTATTACCTAAGTATCTCATCTAGTCTAGGCGCAGACTTAGTAAGCTGGATATTTGATGTATTTGCTTTGAAAACTCAAGATCCCACACCGTATCAATTTCGACTCTTCCCAAGGAAACCCAGTATAAGCAGGAAGCTCCATCATCAACCGACTTTAGAGAATAGGGCCCTTTGGATGGCATCCGGGTTCCTACACTTCCCACAATTGCTTCTGGGGTGTGTCACCGAAAAATAGCTGCAGCCAAAATTGTCACCAACGGCTCTTCTTCTCCTCCATCTTCTTCTTTGCCTTCTCGGCCTTCTGCATTTCGCCAATTTGTTTGGCAAAATGGTCTGTTAGTGCCCTTTGAGGGTCACTGAGTCTTGCCTCATGGGCCAAAAAGCTGGACATATATTTCATTAGCATAACGGACCAATACGAGAGAACAAAGCAGGATATATATACCCCCCGATAGGAAGCAGGCCATAGAGGCCAAAAGATCTCAGAAAGCTTTGTCGATATTTATGGATGCTCCCTCCGGATGGAAAATGGACGACAGTACATGGACCTTTAGGAGCTTTGGGCTTGGGAGATCATATCGCGGGTCATGGCGTTAAATTTTAGGTGTGGGAGATAGCGAATCATATGCGGCTGGTTGTTTACCAGTCTGTATCGGTTTGGTTGGCGAGTCTCTTCAAATGAGGCCTTGCCTATCCGGTGCTCGCGAATCCAAGGCACTTTCAGTTCACCTTGAGCTCTTGGTTTGATGTCTTTCTGGCCCTGTTTGGGTGTGGTATAGACGGAAGGATACAAAGCGAAGGAGCGATAAAGATTAGGGGATATTGTGAGAGCATTAATAATATTCTCTTGAAATTGATTCGGAGGGAAATGAAGAAGACCAGATGAGATCTTTCTAAGGTTATACCTAATATGCCTTCCATCTACGTGCCTTCCAGCCCTTCTGCCCTTCTTAGCAATCTCTCACCAGCCAACGGCTCTCCAACCACTATAGTGTGAACATCGAAAGATAAGACTCGATGGGTATGACCATGGCCTAAACCAAGAGTAAGTTCTTATTCTCCGTTTAATGCAGTTATACTGAGCGAAGATTGAGAATCAAATTACTTGTCTTTCTGAGTGTTACCCAACTGAGGAGATCGGCTCAGAGTACAGCCACTGCCAACATGGTGAAAAAGGACCTTTACCAACCTCTTAGTGGTGAGAATGATCACCCTGTGCCTGTTCTACGGGCCTTCAATACTCACCTTCTGGCAGATGGAAGAGCCAATGTGATCCGGCATTTTCGTGTCTACAAGCAAACCAACAAATTCACGACATGCTGTCCTCTCCTGACAGCCATACTGTATAGAGCGATTTGATCGTGAATCAACCGGCATAACACAGTGTAGGATCCGAGGATAGGCAAGCATGGCAGTCTAGAAATTTTATCTCGCATACTCGATTCGGTGTTGATTCTTCGTCGCCATCTGCTGGACGAATGGACTGGACGACCATCTGTACATTGCGCACGAAAGAAATGGAGTCGCTCATGGAGGACATTGGCTCATGGATAGATCATTGGTCTGCTTGCACCAATGTGGACGCTCCGACCGACGAGACTGTTGCTCCTCAGCCGGCTGGGGCATTAGTGAGAGGATCCCGTCTTGAATCAGAATGTCTGAAGCGCGATGGGAATAAGTGTGTCGTCACTCGGCGTTTTGTCTACCACTTGATGATTGATGAGCGGAAACGACAGAAGTGTTTTGAGACCTTATACGGAGTGTGTCCATACCATTCCTTTTTCGTTTGGAACATGGAAAGATAAATCTGAAGAATAGACCAGTGAGCAGAAAGTGAAAAGAAAAGAGATCATGCACATAGGCGGTCTCAAAAAGGAGATTCTTCAAGGTGCATGGTTAACCCTAATTCAGAACAGTCAAGAAATTCAAACCAGAGACTCCAATTATGTGCTATTGTACAAATATGCAGTGTAGATGCTAGAATACATATATATTACAGTCATTTTACCACATTTTCTCCTTTCCCATGTTCTTTTCCACGTTCTTTTCTTTCTTAACGATCTCACCCACAGTAATTGGGGTTCGCAGGAACTTCTCCATCAGTAGCGCGGCGGCGACACTCACATTCAGACTATCGATGCGGGCAGGATCCGATTCAACGCCCAGAATGGAACTTTGACGTGCACCTGGAATACTGATGATTGCGTTTGCATGCGACTTGATATGCGAGCTCAATCCGGTAGCCTCACTGCCCATCATTATCACACTGGGCGCAGTAGTGATGGGCAATTTGGCCCCGCTTTGATCACCGTCGGCTGGCATGTGATCCAAGTGCACGGACCCAGGAAGTGGTGCATCTGCAGCATAGAACCGCCACCCGTTCTGTTGGGATCGCTGAATGAAATCAACTTCATTTTTCACGTGAAGAACAGGCATATTCTCTGCTGCACCAGCAGAAGATTTGATCGTGATAGGAGACAATGGTGCGGAGTTGCGCCCAGCTAGAACAATTGCATCAACACCCAGGAAATAGGATGAGCGGATGATGGCACCCATATTACCGGTATCGACCACTCCGTCCAATAGCAGAACAATGGGATATCGATGGCGTTGTTCAGTTTCATGCGGGGGAGGGGAAGGATGATGGATCTGGATACGATCATCGGTGCCATTTACCGCAGCTTCTTCCCGGGTTTGTGGCGCAAGCTCCGTCCGGAAATACTCCTCGGATATAGATGGGACAGCCTGCAGGCCGCGCACCGGCAATTTTGGCAAAGGGGATGCCTCCAAAATGCATCCATTGTGAGGTCGCCCAGCACTCATCTTATCCATAAGCCGATCCCATCCCGCAAATGCCATTTTTACGGCAACGTTCTTTGACAATGCCAGTTTGCGGATTGTAACCTTTGCTGCGCTTAGCTCCTCCTCCGTGCTCTGATAAATATACAGCTTGTATAGTTGACGCCGACTGCAGCGTAGCGCCGCCTCCACGGCACTGGTCCCGTAAATGAACTCAGATGCCGGTGTAGTGTAGGGGATTGTATCGGGCACTTTGACGTTGTCCTTCACACGCTCTGGCATGCTGTGCGTGACCCTGTGAGCTCTAGGTCTTGCTGGCTCCTTCTCCCGCGGTTCATCCATTGCAGGCCTTCCCCGTCCCGACTGTGCGAATGGACCGTCTTGTGTTCGCGATTGGAACCGTGATTGGAACCGTGATTGATGCTCACGAGGGAGTCCTCGGAAATCCCCAGAGCGGATGAACTCATCCTCGTCGAATTCAAACTTTTCTTCCTTTTGGCTTGGTCGTGTGGATTTGAAGTTGTCGTTCCATGGTGATTGTCGGCGATCATAGTCTTTACGACCTGCACCGTCTGATGGCCAGGTCTTCTTCGCTCCGTATTCTCGCTCACCCTGGCCGTAGTTTCGATTAACAGTGGATTTCAATCCTGATCTCTGGGGCTTCTGGTCTCCATGCTGTCGCGCTCCATATGTCCGACGGTCACTGAAGTGGGATTGATCTGATCTATCGTATTTTTGCTTTCCGTACTGTCGTGCTCCGTTTGTTTGACGGTCATTGAAACCAGATGTACTTGATCTCTCGTATTGTCGTGCTCCGTATTGCCCCTCGTATTGTCCTTCGCGTTTAGGCAAACTGTTGCCGCGACGATTATCTCGGCGGATCCCCTCCCCAATTGCTGAGTTTAATGATGCATGTCGAATCGCCAAGCCCGTAGAATGCGAGGAACTGATCACTCTCGAAAGACCACCCAGTCCCTTTCTTGAGATAGTACTGAGCATTGTGCGAAGTTCCGGTCTTCGTAAGTCCTCCCGTTCTCTATCCACAGAGAACTTCGATATCGATTTGCGCTATAGGTCTCTGCCCGGTCCCGTGCTTATCGGCTTATCGGTCCAACGCGCAACACGCCGCGGTCTGAAGTCGTGTATGCATTGAGGCTTCTCGACTTCGACTTTCCTTTTTCCCTCGCTCTTGATCTCATTCACTCATCCATTCTCTTTTCATCCCTTCATCTCTCCATCCCCATCTTTCTTTTGAGCATCCAGTGAACTCAAAGCCTGCTTGGTTGTCCATTGGAATCCTCAATCATACCTTCATTTCCATACCCACTTCACTGCTCAAGTGAATTTGCCTTGTCTTTTCCAATACTCATTTGTAGGATCCGCATGCGCGGTTCCTACAGATCCAACCTTCTCTTCTGATTCTTCGTCTGATCGGAAAATCACCATGTCTCAATCCAGAGACTATTCTCTGACCTCTGATGACCCTGATGCGATGGCTGCGCAGTTGTTAGCGCAATTCCAGAGCGCTTCCTCTCGCCAGACCTCAGTCATGGCACCTCAGGGCTCCGAAACTGCCCTCCAGCCAGTGCAACAGGTTACTGGTAACTCAGAAGAACCAACAAAGTCTTTTGAGATCATTGTCCCAGTGGTTAACAACCCTGAGGACTATGAGTATTTGCCTGGTCACTTCGAAGTTCATCGCATTCTTGCAGTTGATATGGATGAGCCCAAACTCATTGTGAGACTCAAGAGTGGTGAACGTCAGACAGTAAGTGAACACTATCAATCAGTCAATCAATCTCAAGCTCCATTCAACTGACCGTGACTTTCACTAGATGACCCTCAATAAATTGAAAAGCCTCAAGAACGGACGGGAGGCTTTGCGTGAATTCAACCGTGACTCACAGAGTCCTGATCCTCTCGCAATGGACCACAGACCCGCTTCACATCTCATCTACTCGGGTGTAGATGGTCCTGCAGACTATGATTCAGACATGGATTGGGGAATCGCACGAAGACGCCAACGTCGTGGCCCATCCATCCGGTACGATCATTTCTTCCGCAGTGAGGATGAAGATAATGATGACCACCAAAGCGACGATGGAGATAGCAGCAGCATACAGATCGAAGACTCAGATGAGTCCAGTGATGAGGATGAAGATGATCCTCCAACCAGACGCCGCCACTTGAGAAGAGGTGTTCAGAAGGGCAAACGACGTGCTCGCGAATGGTCCGAGGAGTCTTCTGCCTCCGATACAGGCAAGGTCAAGCGAACATCCTCCCGCCTACGACAGACCCGTCGACGCAACATGAAAGAGCGACTTGAAGACGACGAATATTCTGAGGCCGAAGCTGAAGAGCCTAAGCAGCAAAAGTTCTCTGGCGCAAAGGAGCAGTTCCGTGAACTGCCAGACGACAATGAGTTCAGACTGTGCCACTCCCAATCATGTGCCCAATGCGGCTATGAAGACCATGACCTCGAAAAAGGGCCTTTGATTTTCTGTCAAGGCTGTACTGTGTCGTACCATCAAGTGTGTCTTGGCGATCGAAGCAGCCGAAAGCATTTGGCCACCAAGGTTGACGATGGGGATTTCATTCTTCAATGCAGTCGGTGTTTGGGGATTAAGCATCAAGAGCACGATATGAAGCCTCATTTGGGCCACTGTGCCGTGTGCAGGGAGGAAGGTCCCATGTCGCAGCCTTTGCGAGAGACTCTTTCTTCCCAGATTGAGCAGCAATTGCGGGAAGCTAATGACGGCGTCGACCCAATTACCCACGTGGATATGGCCTGTGTCAACAATGTTGACAATGTCCTCATCAGATGCCTTGGTGGCAATCATAGCTGCAAGCGAGCCTTCCACATTCAGCATCTACCAAACATGGAAGGAAAGGACCGTGCCGACATTAATCCTGATGACTGGCAATGCAATGAATGCTCTGAATCTCCTCCTGGGTCCAATCCCATCCACGTGATTGTGGCTTGGAGACCAAAGAATTTCGAAGTTGAAGTCGTCCCGCAGTTGGTTGAAATGATCCCGGAGATTGACAAAGAGTATCTCATCAAGTGGCACGGTATGTCTTACTTCCATGTCACCTGGTTGACTGGAGACTGGGTCTCGTCCAAGGCTCCCGCCAGCCAGATGAAGGCGTTCCTCAAGTCAGACAGATCCACCAAGCCCATTATGACAACAGTGGAGGCTGTTCCCGAAGACAATCTGCGAGTGGACATTATCTTTGATGTCGAATATCACGTCGAGCCCGAATCCAAAGAGGATCGAGCCAACCCCGAGATGGTTAAGCGGGCGTACGTCAAGTACAAAGGGTTGCCCTACGAAGATTCAGTCTGGGAAGATCCCCCAAGTCAGACCGACACAGCTCGTTGGGAGGATTTCCAGATTGCTCTTGTCGACAGGGTGCTCCGAGAGGATATTCACCCCTTGAGGCCGAAAGATCTTCAAAGCCATCTCCAAGTGGTCCGCGAAAAGGAGTTCGCCGAGAGCCTTATGCTGGACGCCCAGCCTGAGCTGGTGACCGGCGGTGAGCTCATGGAGTACCAGCTGGATGGCGTGAACTGGCTGCTTTACATGTTCTTTAAGCAAAAGAACGCTATTCTTGCTGACGATATGGGCCTCGGGAAGACAATCCAGGTCCTCACCCTGTTCTCGGCGTTGATTGAGAAACTCGAGTGTTTCCCATTCTTGGTTGTTGTGCCGAATGCGACTGTGCCAAACTGGCGCCGCGAGATCAAAAGCTGGTCCCCGGAGGTCCGGGTTGTCACTTATTATGGCAGCGCCTTTGCTCGCGAGATGACCCGGGACTACGAGATGTTCCACGAGAATGGCACTTTGTGTTGCCATGTGGTCATTGCCTCGTACGAGAGTATGTGTGATGACGGGGCTAAGCGAGTCTTGGCCAGCATCAATTGGGCCGGCTTGGTGGTTGATGAAGGTCAGCGCCTCAAGAATGACAAGACCCAGCTATATGAGCGCCTTCGTCGCATGAAATTCGGTTTCAAGCTGCTGCTCACTGGCACACCTCTGCAGAACAACATCAGAGAGTTGTTCAACCTCGTCCAGTTCATTGATCCGACTTACAATGCTGAGAAGTTGGAGGCCCAATATGCGGGAACGCTCGACAAGGATGCCATTCGCGAGCTCCACGATATGATTCGGCCATGCCTACTGCGTCGAACTAAGGCAGAGGTTCTGCCGTTCCTTCCCCCGATGGTGCAGATCATCATTCCGATTTCGATGTCCGTTGTGCAGAAGAAGCTGTACAAATCAATCCTTAAAAAGAACCCGCAGCTTATCAAGGCTATTTGCAAGAAGCAAACTGGGGCGTTGAAGAAAGCAGAGCGACATAACCTGAACAATATCCTCATGCAGCTGCGGAAGTGTCTCTGCCACCCGTACATTTACAACCGCGACATTGAAGAGCAAACCATCGATCCCCAGCTTTCCCATCGTCGTTTGGTCGAAGCATCCGGAAAACTGCGGTTGTTGAACTTGATGCTACCGCGACTTCGAGCACGCGGACACCGCGTCCTCATCTTCAGTCAGTTTTTAGAGAATCTCGACATTGTTGAAGATTTCCTCGCTGGATTGGAGCTCAAGTACCGTCGCCTGGATGGAAGCATGTCCTCACGAGAGAAACAGAAGAGCATCGATGAGTTCAACGCGCCGGATTCCCCGTTCTTCGCCTTCTTGCTTTCAACACGGTCGGGTGGTGTTGGAATCAACCTCGCCACTGCCGATACGGTCATCATCATGGATCCGGATTTCAATCCGAAACAGGACATGCAGGCTCTATCGCGTGCCCATCGAATCGGGCAGAAGAATACAGTCCTTGTGTTCCACCTGGTAGTGCGCGCGTCAGTGGAGGAAAAAATAATGCAGAAAGGTAAATCGAAGATGGCTCTTGACCACGTACTTATCGATCGCATCGAGGCCGATCAAGATGAAGAAGATCTGGAATCGATCCTCAAACATGGTGCCCAGGCACTGTTCAACGATGACGACTCGGCTGACATCACTTACGATTTCCACTCTATTGACAAGCTGTTGGACCGTAGCCAGGCTGAACAGGCCGAGCAAGTGACCAGCGAGGGAAGTTCGAACCAGAATGAGCAGGCGCTGTTTAATTTCGCCCGCGTGTGGCAGAAGGACCGAGGTAGCCTTGAAGAAGTCGAGGAAGTCGAAGACACGCCTGTGGATGTCACGGCGTGGGAGAAGATTCTGCAGGAGCGCGAGCGTGAAGCGCTCGAAGAGGCTAACCGACAAGCTGAAGGTCTTGGGCGTGGTAAGAGAAAGCGCGGTGCGCCCCGCTATGGAAACACCATCATTGAAGGACTAGACGACGACGAGATTCCTAGTCCTGTCAGGCCTGGACCTAGCAAGATACGAAAGGCCGCCGCCGACAACGACTATGAGTTCCAAGAGCCAGATGATGGTGAGGAGACTGACTCGGAGGCCGAGGCTGGAGTGGTGTCAATGGGCACTGCCTACGATGGGGGTGAGACAGAGCGGGAGATGGGGGGGTGAGCAGCCCGCCGCTGCTGGTGCCACAGCTGGCCCTACTACTGTGGATGTAGAGCAGGGAGGTAAGAACTAATTGAGTTTCCATTCACATCCTAGTTACTGCTTTTTCTTTTTGGTTTTAAGTTCTACCCTATCGTTCCTTATTGCGTGCGTCTAACAGCACATTTTTGGTTAACATACATAATTTTCGCTACAGCCCGCGCGTTCCGCCGCGTTGACTCCCCGCCCCCAGTGGTCTCAATGGGCACTGATGGTGCCCAAGATGGTTTCCCGTCTTGTGTGGCCTGCCAACAACGGCACGTCCCTGGGCGTTGTCCACTCCGTCTCGCCGGCGTCGAGTTTTGTGGCCTGTGCGGTTTGGCGCACTGGGGAGGCCGGCGGGCCTGGCCCCACCTGCAGTCACAGCTGCAGGTTGCCCGAATTTTGGAAGCGCTGGAGAAGAGCGTGGAGGACCCCGCCCTCGTTTTGGAAGCGAAGAGATACCTCCAGGGTATTCTCAGATCGGTTGCGCGAACCGCTCAGGATAAGCGGAAGAAGGCTTTGCATTCCGCCCAGGCGGAGCCTCAGATTCGGCTCACCTCACCCTCAGTTGGCGCCTCGGTTGGCGGGGTGAGCCATGCCACTTTCATTGATCTGACAGAGTCCGCCGAGTCTTAAGACTCACCTCGAATTTCTGCTGCTGTGGCCCCAGTAGGGGGATCTTTTCAAAGTGATCATCGTCAGAGATGAGCACCGGCTCCTCTCTTTGTGTTTCTTTCGTTTTTCTTTTTCTTTTTCTTTTTTTCTTTTTCTCTTTTTTCTTTTTTGTCTGCGTACATTGCATGGGGGGGAGTTCAGTCTTTCGTCTTCAAGAAAAAGTAAAAAGGGCAAAAAGGGAGGCGTTCTGTGCATTGCGAGCGAAAGATACCCAGCTTTGTTTTGATAGAGAGAATCTACGCGAAGTTGTATGATTACGATATTGCAACTATCATCTTGATACAGACAATGTGATGAGATACCAGGAGAGTAGTGGGATCTAGGGGGTATACATAGCTTTTAGTTCTTCAGGTTCATTTTCTATGGGCTTGTTGAGCAAACACTTTGCGATCATGCATGTATGTAGTATTATGTAGTATCCAAGATGCAGGTATTACACCAGAAAGCAACCCAAGTCAGACAAACGTCTGCCGTGGAAGACACTGCTACACAATCCTCCAGCCACAAGAACCTCACTATGCAATCCAAGAGGATTGTTAGTGGTGACATGGCTAGCAACAAACCAATATTTAAAGAAACAAAGATGCGCATACGGGCATCCTTCTTCTTCACTTCTCCACCTATCCCCATTCCCTTCATCATTCACACAACTTCATCAACCCAGGTTACATGGATCCACCCAAAGAACATCATCAGCGAATGCACCGCCTTGGGCACGTGTTCGCAGAGATGAAGCAAGATCCCACTGCTACACCGCAGGTGATGCCCAAGACCACACAGGACTCCGAGGAGTCTGGCATCTCGAAAAGCATCCTTCAGCCTCGAACTGCAGATGCTTCAGTCAAGATGCCAGATGATGATGATGAACAAGGTTAGTCTGCAAAACTGTAGAAGAGCTATTACCCCTATGAAAAGTGGCCACATTAACAGCTATATCGATGATGTAGCAAAAGAGTCGTTCATCAAGGTTGACAAGCCTGACCTTGATTTTGCAACTGGTCTAGAAGACCAGAAGACAGCTACTAGAGTCGACCAGAAACCATCCTCCGAGGATATCGACATGCCCTTGGCCCCCAAAATCAATCCAACTGAGCCACCCACCAAGGTTGAGAAGCCTGACCCTGATTTGGCAGCTGATCTTGAAGATCAGAAGGCAGCTATTGGTGTCAAAGGAGATCCATCTTGCGAGGATACTGAGATGCCGCTGGCCCCTACAATCAATCCAACGGAGCTATTGATCAAAGTTGAGGAACCTGATCCTGATTTGGCAGCTATTCCTGAAGACCAGAAGGCAGCTACTGTTGTCGACCAGAAACCATCCTGTGAGGACTCTGATATGCCATTGGCCCCTACAATCGAACCAGCAGAGCTATCGATCAAGGATGAGAAGCCTGATCCTGAACGGAATGCCGCTGCTAGTACCAAGCAAGAACCATCTTACGAGGATACGGAGATGCCACTGGCCCCCAAGATCGACCCAAATGAGCCGACAGCCAGTTTTGACCACTCTGACTCCAAGTGCAGTCTCACCCAGTTTGATTCCCAGCGTCTTTTGAAAGAGACACGTACTCCGAGCTCCCCTGAGTCTGCGGACACAAAACCACAAGGCCAGCTCTGCCTCGTATGCTTCAAGCAATGGGAAAAGCAACTGGAGTCCGGCGAAAGGCTAGTTGATTGCCAAACTACGCATAGGACTTCTTCCCGCTGTGGCCAGTGTTTGCTGAAGCATTCTAGATGCGAGATAGTAAGCATATACTAGCCTCAATAACCACAGCCCAGCTAACTTGGTGCTAGCTCCCATCTAATCTGACAAGAGACCTGTTACAGCTGAAGCATGAGGTGGACAACGCCTTAATGGTGGGTGAGGCCACCGAAGAAAAGAAGAGGTTCTACGATGCATACCAGCATGTTTCTGGAGAAGTTCATCGACCATCCGCCAGACCTAGTGCATCGGACTTGCAGAATGCAGACAGAAGGAAGTCGTACGGGCGAGAATACTATCGGAAGAACGCAGAAAAAATCAACTCGAAAAATCGAGAATATCAGCGGAAGAACGCAGACAAAGTCAGGTCGCGAAGACAAGAATGGCGGTTGAAGAACGCAGACAAAATCAGGTCGAGAAATCTAGAATATCGGCGGAAGAACGCCGACAAACTCAAGTCACAACAACGAGAATACCGGCGGAAGAACGGAGACAAAGTCAAGTTGTATTATCAAGAATACAGGCAGAAGAACGCAGACAAAATCAGGGTGAGAAAACAAGAATACTGTCGGAAGAACGTAGACAAAACCAAGGCGGGAATACAAGAATGGCGGCGGAAGAACACAGACAAAATCAAGGCAGGAAAACAAGAATACTATCGAAAGAACGCAAACAAAATCAAGGCGGAAAAACGAGAATACTATTGGAATAACGCAAACAAAATCAAGGCGGAAAAACGAGAATACTATCGGAAGAACGCAGACAAAGCCCTGGCGAAAATACGAAAATGGCAGTTGGAGAACGCAGACAAAGTGAAGTCGTACGGTCGAAAATACTATCGGAAGAAGGCAGACAAAATCAAGGCGGGAAAACAAGAAAGGGGGCCTAAAATGAAAGAAAATCAGCCAATACAGAAACCAGGCCCTCGACTCAAGAAGGAGGACCAGTTCAAGCAGGAGGACCGGTTCAAGCAAGAGGACCGGCTCAAGCAAGAGGACCGGCCCAAGCAAGAGGACCGGCTCAAGCAAGAGGACCGGCCCAAGCAAGAGGACCGGCTCAAGCAAGAGGACCGGCTCAAGCAAGAGGACCGGCCCAAGCAAGAGGACCGGCCCAAGCAAGAGGACCGGCCCAAGCAAGAGGCCTCGCTGTCGAATTCCTAGGATGAGCGTGGCATATACGATGGGCCAAGGTGGCCATGATAGCCTTGGCAGGATCACAGTTCAGAAAATTTGTCATTCCATTTGCTTTTGTGTCTATGGAAGGTGTCTCTATTTGGCAGGTTGTATTCTGCAGCCGATGTTGACTTGAGCGGTCGAGTTAGGTCAAGCTAAGTCACGGGGTCTTGACCTGAGCCGCATTGTCAGCTATCAACGACATCCGACACAACAGGAAAGGAGAACAGTACTAGGTGACATATTTGTTATGCTTCCCTTTTTCTTTCTCTTTTTTTCTTTTGTCTATGGCCGAGCTTTTGTCTTTGTTTTCATTTGGGCTCTGATAATGTTCGTCTGTTTGGGCTATTTCCAGGCTGGATGGGTTGTGGTGGCAGTCGCACTTTGTCCTATTTTCAAGCAAGCAATGCAAGTCCTCCTTAGAAAGAAAATGGCTGGTAGTTACTCCTAGGACATCAAAAGAAAGATGTCTCTATCTAGAGGTAATACAGTTGACATGGGTAGGAGTCGCACCAGGTCGAAGAGGTATCCTTAGGAGACAAGATTACTCACTACCAGCAATAGACTAAGAGACAGGCAGAGTAAGCCTCAGACTTTATATTAGTACATCCTTATTGTTATATCCTCTACCTGTGGACACAGGACAAGGGACATTGACTATTGGATAGCCTTAAACATGCATAGCATTGATATAAGCACATGAAAGGCAAATACGTAGAAGCATAATAGAAGGTCAAATTTAGAATTGGACTAAGCATGTCCTGCAGGCAGCCGCTCAACCATGCCAAGGCACACGTTCATGATGCATTCCCAAGCCAAAAGCATTGGACTCCGAATGGTACACAGCTTATTCGTGCCTTTGTGTAGTTTATTCCTACAACTTTTTGGATTTTCTGCTCTTTGATATGCAGAGAAACGATGAATCCATATCATCTGCAACACCGTACACTCATTTCCGGTGTCTTTGTCTCCATGGGGACCGTATTGTGAGCTTAAAGATAGATAGACCCCCATTGTGTATCCAGTGTATCTAATATATCCAAGATGGTCAAGTTCATTGTATGAATTAAATTCGTATACCTCTTTGATATGTAGAAAATTAGCACGGTCAAGCTTCATGATCTCAAAGGCTCTCCAATATATGAGATTGTGTTTCCCTGAACTTCAGTTTCTCATCTCATCTTCATCCCAATTTGTTGTTGTCTTGTTTGTCCCCAGGGCTGTCACCTCCAGAGCTGTCACCTCTAGGGCTGTCCCCTGTCACCTGTCACCTGTCACCTGCCCCTTCTGTCGCTTGTCACCTCCCATAACCCTCTTCTCCCACAAACGTCCTCTTCCCACTTCTTTTCTTCATCTCTCTTGCTTCTTTCTGTATCACATTCTTATTGCACAATCTTATCCATTCCATCTCTCATTTTTATCTTGATCAAGTTTTGCTTTTTGTCAAGATGGCGACTCCTGGTCGGCCTCAATTTTTCTGTACCCGCCCTGATGGGACCTTGACCCCACTGGTAGCTGTCGATGAGCTACCCACTAACGTCACCATCCGTGGTGTCTCTCGCACCCTCAATGCTGGAGAGACCCAGGGTATGACTAGCTGTGGTCTGGCTGCCCAACGTCCTGAACCTTGGTCTGTCGACGGGGTTACCGAGTCCTCTGAGCATGAGGGTGATAAGAAGGAAGCTGTTCCGGATATGCACAGCCTGCTGGTGCAGATCCTCACGAACAAAAATGTTCCTGATCACATGCGGGCATCCGCGAAGGCCATCCTCTTCCAGGGAGTCGAGGGCTCTAACGGGCTTGCCGGTCAAGGCACTCCTACCAATGGACTGTCTCCAACAGCGCCAAGCTTTTATGCCAAGGGTCACCAGGGCAATAAGCATGTATGGCCGAGTCTCCTGGCATGGCATAGTTCAAGTTTCTAACCCTTTCAACACAGGCCCCGAGTTCGAAGAAAGAGTACTGTTCGTACTGGATTCGTCATGGCGAATGCGACTATTCTCAGCAAGGTAAGTTGACTGAATGGCTGAGACCTATGAAGTATTGACTGACGCTGTGTTGCATAGGTTGCCTCTACAAGCATGAAATGCCCGATGAGAAGCACTTGATCGAGAAACTTGGTCTCCGCGATATTCCTCGCTGGTTCCGCGAGAAGTACGGCGTCAAGAGTCTCTTGCACCCGGACCGAAACCGTCCGCAGCTTGCCATTGCGGATCAGCCGCCCATGCGGGCCCTGCCATCCCCAGCTTCGCCTATCAACGAGAGCTGCGCCAGCAAAACGCCCACTATCCATGCCAACTCGAAGCTGGACAAGTCCCCTCCCCCAATTCGACAAGACCCCTCCTCGCGGACCGGCGAACCGTGGAGGTCACAACGGCTTTGGCAGCTACAATCAGCATCGAGGTGGACGCAACGGGGCCCCGAATGGACATCATGGCAATAACTGGAAGGGTACCCACCGCGGTGGTCGTAACCGAAACATGGGTGCTGTTCGTCATGGCATTAGCAGCGAGCGTGACAGCGAGCGGAGCGGCGAGTGGTCCCCTGGCATGGAATCCGCCCCAGCCACCTACGAATATGGATCTCATGGATTTGGCGGCAACCAAGTCTGCACCCCGACTACCCCGGCCACTGTTCCGGCCTCGGTTCCAATCACCGTCTCGGCTACCGGTCATGTTTCCGCTCCCATGGCTGCGCATCGATCTCTTCTGGATGACGGTAACTCCCACCACCGAAATTCGTACTGGAAGCTCAATGAGCTGACCGAGTGTAATGAAGATATGTTTGAAGACGCCTCGAACAAGCCGGTTGAAGCCCATCACCGTGTCCAGCCACGCCACGTGTATCAACACAGTTCGAACCCTTCTTCTGATGGCGGTGTCATGCTCCCAAAGGAACCCGCTGTAACCTACGATTCGAACTTCGGTGCATTCACTCGTGTTGATATGCCTTCTCGCAAGGAGTCAGAGTCCAGCGGCTCCCATGCTACAGTCCAGATGAATTATGGACCTTCCACTCCCCGGATCGGAGATCTTCAGATCACCGACAACGTGCCCCTGAACTCGGCCGACACCCGTGTCACTTGGGGTCCCATTGGAGGTCCTATTCTCAAGCGCACATCGCCACCTGCTGAGAACATTGCGCACATGTTTGGACCGTACTCAAACAATCAACACGGTAACTAATCGGATCGTTTCAAGACACTTTCACTCAGGCGGGCTTGACCTGCGGTGGTCAACATGACTACCTGCATGGTACTGCTCGTTGATCGATTCCATCCTTTTTCGTGCACTTATGAGATCTGGTGCATCGTCGTGGTTTTCCCTTCGATGTCAACCTACCAGGTAAAATTATGCGATATCATACACAGAGACTATACCCAAGCACGAAAAGTGGCCCAGACAAGACGACAATCATCAGGAGTGACGGATGGCGTGGCTGTCATGGACATTTTTCTTTTCTTGCGATGCGTTTAAATTTTTTTTTTTTTTGTTTCTTTATTTTTGCGTTATTTTTTTTGCTTTATTTTTTGTTTTTCTTGCGTCGGATTGGGAAATTGTTGCCCGTTGATTGGCGTGGGGATGGCAATAATCTGTGCCCATATGGAGTTGTTATTTCGTTTGTGATTTTTTTATTTTCGATTCTGGAACTGCAGCAAGGCCTTGTCCTATCTGTCATGGACAGGACATCCTTGTTGGTTCGAGTATAGATGAGTCGGAAGTTGGCTGATGACGAGGTTGCAGTCGGCTCTGCTGACCGACTCCCTGTCTTGGCAGATATCTATCACAAATCTGATGCGTTGTTTTTCTTCTTTTTATACTACGTTTCCAATTCTCCAGTAGCATCTACGTACTAGGGAGTGTTGAAATAGAGCTCTCTAGAAAATAGCATACTTCACAGTGCTAAGTCGAGAGCACACTACAAGGAATGGAGTAACAGCGAGCCGCCAATGCATGGAATAAAATGACTATAGTACATTCGAAAGAAAAGATGCCAAAAATCCTGAAATATGCGCCCGCGCCTCGCAAATGTCTGACAACAGCTTCTCAAACACACCCAATATACAGTTGACGAACATCTATTACCGGCGGGCGACCTTTTTCCGAGCGCCAACCTTGACAGCAACGCGCTCCCTCTCGTCAGCAGCCTTGGCCTGGAGAGCAGGGTTGAGCGAAGGCAGAGCCTTGATAGCATCGGAGACAATTGAATTACCGTCCACAAGGGCAGCTCGCGTCTCCTCGGCTGCTAGACGCTCCTTGCGCCGCGCGGCCAGCTGATTCCGACGGGCCTCGGTCATGTTCCAGGATTCGGGGAATTGCAGTCTGGTCTTTTGCTTGTGGTGGCGGAGGTCGAGCGGGATGTCGGCGAAGGAGTCACCTTCCTTGGCCTCCTTGATCATGGAGTTGACGACATCTGCCAGGTAGCGCTTGTTCTGGGCACGTGAGCCGAACTTCTCACTCGACATGCGGATAATATCGGTCTGCGGGTTGTAGCGCGTACCGGCCAGCTTGAGGAATGTTTGGCGCTGGGCTTCAGTGAGATACTTGGGGGTCAGATCTTGGGATGCGAGTTCCACAACGACCTTGGGCTCGGCCGGGTGCTGTTCACCCATGTAGGTAGTGTAGCGGAAGCGGAGGATGTGGGTTTGGGGTGGCAGGGTGAATGGTTTGGCGAGCTCTATAGTTCAATGTCAGTAGATGGAAAGTATAGTCCTAGTGAGCAATTGATCTTACTGCTCAGCATTGGCATGTCCCATGCTGTAATGCGGGCATACTCTCTCATTTCACGGTGCAATTCCATCTCTGCGTGTGCCATGGAGGTGATTTCGTCGTCATTGATTTCCTCGTCTCCATCCTCGAGTATGTTCACCAACTCGTCGGGCTCGTCTTCAGCCCAGAACCCAGGCCGGCGGGGGCGGATCTCTTCGAATCGGAGATCCTCCTCTTTATCAATCTTCAAAATGCTCTGCTCGAGTTCCTCAAAGGCCGCAGCGCGCTTCCTGGGGTCGTTGAATTCGGCAACCATGCGGGTGTTCTCTTCGTCGAATGCCGCGCGCTCCTCGGGAGACATCATATCATACATTGACCGCTGCTCCTTGGTCAGGAGATCGACTGAATACTCAGGCATTGGGGGGAAATCCTCCGGTCTGAGTTCCTTGGGCGGAGGAGGAATCACGGGGTCATCCTGAACGCGATTAAGCGGCGAGGCGGAGAAGTACCGGGCAGGGGGGGCCATGAGGCCCCTCCGGGCCAGATTCTCGACTGGGCGAGCCAATAACCGAGCTGCTGAGGCCATTGTCGAGGGTATAGCGTGGGTAGGGACAGGATCTCAACTACGATGTTTTCCGCTTCCACTTTTGCGAGGTTCACCGCCGTACGCTATTCCATATTCAGACTAGCGTGAATCATCTACACGTGACACCATGGTATATGATTGCATCTTGATCTTTGGACTATCCTTTCATCTGGATAATGCATCTTTTTACAATTCCCCTATGTGAGGGATGATAATTGACTGTGAGAGAACCTTCCAAGGTTGATATCTCTGCCTGCTTCGACACAACATCGCCACGATGAAGCTATGCTTTGTGACTGTGGGGGCCACGGCTTCCTTTCAGAAACTACTTGAACAAATACTTAGTTCGCAGTTTCTCGAGACGTTAGCCAAGCGTGGCTACACCCATCTTCTTATTCAGTACGGTAAAGATGGCCAGCAAATTTTCCAAAACTTCATCGACAGTGACCAGCCCCACCACGGTCTCACCCTTGGAGGATTCGATTTCCAGCCGAGCATTGATGCGCAAATGATGATGACCGTGGAAAGAGAGGCGCTTAATCAAGAGCGTGGCTTGATTATTTGTCATGCTGGTATGATGCATCACTATCTCGCGTATTGAATATGTCAGACCTTGATCCACTTACCATCTCATAGGAACTGGAACTGTTCTGGCAGGACTTCGTCTGGGTGTGCCCTTGATTGTGGTCCCCAATCCAGATCTTGCCGATAACCACCAGCAGGAACTGGCTGATGAGCTAGAGGCAGGGAACTACGTGATTAGTAGTTCGGTCAAGTAAATGATCTATCCTCCTTTGTCTACTCTGTCAGTCTAGCTAACTTGTGATCAGTGATGTGGGCAATGCAATTAGCAGAGCAGAGACTCAGAAGGCTGAGGTATTGTCTATGCGAACTGGAAATACAACTCTTGCGGAAAGTATGTCTGACGAGTTGGGCTTTTTGGACTAAAGGAACCCCTCTGGTGTCCTACAAGGACTGGTTCCCACCAATCCGCTTTTGTCGACTGAACAATGGGCTTGGGGGCTGCATTATATCACGAGTTATGACGTTTCATGGAATCATAATGGGCATCCATGAAGCAATTGGTCCGAGTTCAGTCTGTTCGGTCTACAACAATTGAGTGTCAAAATATCATCTGAGACCATGAAGAGAATCAATTCCTTTCTACGCTCATCTGAACCACTACCGATTAGCTTTTAACATAAATATTTGAGCTATGTCTCTTATTATACAATGAACTAGTCAGATATATTCTGATAATTCTGTAAATTTCAATTCTATTGCGGGTTCAATTTACCAGGCGTGGACTAAGAGTGGCCCAAGCTCCTTGTTGACAATTCCCGATTTGCGGATTTGCGGCTTCGCGTCCACTCCTGAATCAACAAGAACATCAACGCCCAACCACCGAAAACATTATATGCGCCTTCAGTTCAACTTCCACTCCGTTGATCCTCCGAGTCGCCCATTCTAGGCCGAGAGGCCGTCTATACCCGCGCTCGTCCTTATCCGACCTCACCTCCCAACCACACTCCCCGCAATGGCAGAGGCAACTCTTCACAACGTGCCAATTGTAATCGACAATGGCAGCGGCACCATCCGAGCAGGATTTGCCGGAGAGGAGATTCCATCATGTTATTTCCCGTCGTTTGTCGGTCGTCCCAAGCACCCGCGCGTAATGGCCGGTGGTCTGGAAGGGGATTCGTTCATCGGGTCCCGTGCACAAGAACTCCGCGGACTATTGAAGATCAGGTATCCTCTGGAACACGGCATTGTCACGGATTGGGAAGATATGGAATCCATTTGGCACTACGTCTACGAAAACGAGCTCAAGACCCTCCCCGAAGAACACCCCGTCCTCCTCACGGAGCCACCGCTGAACCCACGCGCCAACCGTGATATCGCTGCCCAACTCATGTTCGAGGCTTTCAACGTTCCGGCCTTGTACATGTCGATTCAGGCCGTGTTGTCGCTCTATGCGTCTGGCCGGACCACGGGTGTGGTCTTGGATTCTGGTGATGGTGTCTCCCACGCAGTGCCGGTCTTCGAGGGTTTCGCTATTCCCAACAGTATTCGGAGAATTGATGTTGCTGGTCGTGATGTTACGGAACAGATGCAGTTGCTGCTGCGGAAGGCTGGACATGTGCTGCACACTAGCGCCGAGAAGGAAGTGGTGCGGATGATTAAGGAGAAGGTCTGCTACGTGTCGCTGGATCCGAAGCGGGAAGAGAAGGAGTGGATGAACAGCTACCACAAGTCTGATGCTAAAGCGATGGACTACGCTCTTCCGGACGGTCACAAGATCAAGGTATGCACTGTCTTGGAATATCATTCCTGGATTACAACAATGCTAATGAACTCACCTCTCAAGATCGGCCAAGAACGTTACCGTGCGCCTGAAATCCTCTTCGATCCCGAGCTCATCGGCCTCGAGTATCCTGGTGTGCACCAGATCGTGCAGGATGCCATCACCCGCACAGATCTCGACCTGCGGAAATCGCTATACCTGAATATTGTGCTTTCTGGAGGTTCAACACTGTGCAAGAACTTCCCTGACCGGTTGATGCGCGAGATCAAAAAGCTAGCAGTCGAGGACATGAAGATTCGCATTTCTGCGCCTGCTGAGCGCAAGTACACCACGTGGATTGGTGGTAGCATTCTAGCCGGGCTGAGCACGTTTAGAAAGGTATGCAACATCCCCGTCATGCCAATGCGTTACAGCTAACTAAACGACTCTCTAGATGTGGGTAAGTGCAGACGAATGGCACGAGGATCCTGAGGTGATCCACAAGCGATTCGCATAAAGGACTCGCCTGTGACGGAAGTCTTTGATATTATGGTGGCCTTCTGCCGAGTCACTCTGGGACCGATCACATCCACTGCGTCGAACGCGATCCCCAAGGCACCATATCCAATCCCAGAATAAACACAAGAAACAGATCTTGCACCTGGATCGATCATTATGCAATTGGCAGTGCATACCAAGAAGTGATCGACCAACATCACAAATCCGAGTCGCGTCCCCGACTCTTGATACCCCAGTTTCCGATTTCCTATCCAGCTCATGTCGTCTTGGCATTGGCTCCGACTTTATTGCAAATACAGTCTCTTTTGCGTCTTGGGGAGGGTTCTACTCTAGACATAATTTACTCGGACATACCTGCATACACAAGTTCTTGTCATATTGTATCTATCCCATCTGCGTAGCTTGGCTGAATCACAATAGACAGCATCACGTGAGCCTACATTTGTAATCTATTTAGATATCTTTGAGTCTAGTAATGGCAGGTGACCTTACTCATTCTACTTCTGAACGAATGATAATAATCATGAAGATGTGTTTTGTTCATTCTCCCATTCGCCCCCCATCTATGAATAGTTGGGAACCCAACATACCCAAACCAGATGGATGGGGCTCACTGGGTAACGGAGGCAATTTCTTTATTTAATAAAAATCTCGTTTCTGTCAATGCCGGCCTTGATATAGAGATTAAAAATCAAGAATATACATGTCGCCACATATCAACTATGGGCTTGAAATCAGCCCCAACACCAAACACCGACTTCAAAGAAAATAGAATGGCAAATCGAACTTGAGAACATCCATGGACCAAAAGAACAAAGAACATGATTTATAACACAGCCAGTAGAATATTCCAGAGCATAAACGAAGAATACCTGTTTCTACTGACATCCATGGGCCAACCAGAATACCATATTCCGGCTGTCATCGCCTATCCGCGGCTACAACGCTACAACTGGATGCGACATCTGTCAAGTCCAGATTCGCCATGGAGTGGAACCAGTCACAACGAGCACGTCTTAACCAAATCTACAACTACAATGATGTAATAGAAAATATTGAAGACATGTAATCCAGCCCGGGAAAACCCAAGCATGCAATTCATTGTTAAACTCATGGCTAGAAAGTAGTAGCTCAGAGTGGCGCAATATTGGGGGGAATATGTTGAAAAACAGACAAGGAAACACAGAAAAGTTGGGACATGAGAAAGTAAGGGCGGACTCCGAGAATGATGCAGCCAGACAATTGTTGTTCGATGGCGCGATCTTGGTGTTGAATGAAACTCCGTAGAGAAGAGAACCCGGTTTCCAGAACCTGGCGTTGATGCAGGGTGGTTTGGCTCGAGGCGCAAATTAACCACAAAGAACATAATTAAACGCCGGTTTGCCCATGTTTGAGTGAGGAGGTTTCGACGAAACAAAGAAATGTTGGGAGGATGTATGAGTGGACGGGATCTCGCCGACACATGCAGAGAGAAACATGACAGGTAGGAAGGAGCCTTGTGGCAAGACACTCTCAACGGATTGGTGTCAACGGGTTGTCGATGTTTCGGTCTGGGGTCGGTGAAATCCCCGTATGATTAAAAATGAGAAAGAAGTGGTCAAGAGAAAGACAAGAAACTTTTTTGGTCGTTATGTCGTTGATGTTGATATCGGGCACGAGAAGTAGAAAAGAGAAGTGTAGAAAGAATATGCATCTAGGCAGTACCCTTCAACTTGCCCAACCCTTCTCCAGCCCACGACGAGCCATATCCCGCGCACGATCAGCCACGGAGCCGGTGCTGGAGTTGGTGGCCGTGCTGGCGGCAGAGTACTTGCGACTCAGACTGGACGTGCTGTAGTCGTCGCGGTACATGGTGTTGCCAGCACCACCACGGCCGACGTGGTAGACGGGGGCGGCCTGGCGCAGATCACGTTCGAGTTCTTCATCGAAGCTGAAGATGGCACGCTCGCTGCTGCTGTGGACGTTGCCGGCTCCGCCGCGGCCGGAGATGAAGGCTGTTGGGACGCGGGAGTCGAGACGGGCTAGAGAGGCGGGACCGGTTGCGCTGCGCGAGTCGGTGGTCTTGGTGTTCTTGAGATTGACGATATTCCCGCATCCTCCACGGCCAGTGTAGACGGCTGGACGGCCAGCGTGTGGCACTGAAGGATGTGGCTCAACAAGGCGATAATTTGATGCAGGCATGTTGATATGTGATTCAAAGTAGATCTTGAAGTATAGATAAACAGTCTATGCTGTAAAGACTATAAAAACTCCATCCAGTTGCAGAATTTGCAGTTATGGGTCTTAACAAACACAGCGGGGACTTCCAGTTATATAGTCCCTGGGACCTTTTTTGGAGTCATTTCCAGATCCAGGCACGACATCCAGTCACAAGGTGCTGTGGGGTTTTCTTTTTGATTTTTTGATTTTTGATTTTATTTTTTTGGGAATTTTGAATTTATCCCTTTTCTCCCCATCGTCATCGGTGTACCAGCAAGAGGTATTTCCATTTTGGATGCTATGTCAGCACCTGCATGTGCCCTGGAAAAACCCCTGTGATCTGGTTAAGGAAGATGATTGGCCTTGGTTCTTCCCCACACGATATAACTCTTGCCGCTTTTACAAAATTGTCCACTGGGCAACCAAGTCATCTGACTGGGGCTACTCCACCAATAGTGAGTGGCAAGACGTAACAGAAACTCCCTTCACAACCAATGAGGATTTCCATTACCCCCAGGAAATGTAGAAAAACCACGCATTTCAGGATCATCAAGTGTCCAGATCCCAATACAATTTGACACTTGGGCACGTTATTATCCCTTGTCAGCACACACCGCAACAGGGGCCATTTCTCGATCACGTCAGGTGTCGCGCAATTCGGACCATTTGAGTTAGGCAGTAGTATTGTAGTAGTCTTTTGAGGCAATAGAAATAAAATACTCACGATGTATTATCAATACCAGAATACCAAGAGAAAAGGTATTTTACTGCTCCAGCAATAGCAATTGCATCATCTTCACCGGCCCATTCACCGGCCCGTGTCCACTTTCTATTTCCAGAGAACAGGGGCTATTTGTGCAACACATTTTTCAATTTCCTACCTAGGTAAGTACCAGTGATGTCAAACTGATGGCTACATCCATGGATATGCGTGTTGTACAAACTGGTATATAATGCAACTGTATAAGTATATCCATGGATATGTATACTATATTTGGGGATGAATAACAATATCAGATCAATAAAATATGTTGTACGGAATATGTTGTACTGAAATTTCAGGACGCGCTAATGTACGATGACCCCATCGCGCTGAAATCTGCGGGATATTCTTCCTTAGCCCCCCGTAGATCCAAGTCTAGGGCTAGTTCGCTGCACATGGTACCTGTCTTGATCAATAATTCACTCACCGTAGGAGTACCACCTGGGCAATGCCTAGACTGCCGAGAATGATGTCCACCTGGGCAGGTTGACCCCTTTGTCATTCAGCTCGAGCCGAGGAGTCCAAGAACAGGCCAAATGTTCCCCAGATGCTGAATGACGTTGAAAAATAAAACCAAAAAGGGAAAAAAAAAATCGGTCGCTCATGTGCTCTGACTGGCCGAGAGATCCGAGCGGCGAAAAAGACAAATCACCTTGTCATCCATCCATGGATGTCTGTGCGTTTCCCATTTCCCCAGATTTTCTTTTCCCCGACTTTTTTGCTGTGCGTCCGGCCTTTCCGTTTGCGAACTTGATAGGGGTAAGATGTAGGAATGCCGTGACCTCACGTGTTGAGGATACGTGTCTGCTGAGACTGACACGGCTGATATTGTCAGGTCGAAAACATCCCGATCTCCCAATTGGACGAGACTTAGCACCTGACTTGGAGATTCTTCACACATCATTCTATCACCCCCTCGCATATCAAACACAACTATATCAAACTGCGCGATTAAACAAACCCCGAGTACTCCGTCTTACATATCCAATATCCATACACGTACTTCGTTCCATCTACTCCGTACTCCGTACAAACAAAAATACCCCGCTATGTGCCATTAGATAATAGCGCAGCACCATGACACATGATTATCATTGTCGCCAGGTCGAGGCCCGGCAACCGGTTAGGCTGGCGGCTCATAGCCGGGCATGACTACCCAGGCACCTAGGTAGTATTACCGACATACGTTGGCGTTCAAGGATTGAATGCCAGCACTTCCCTGCTTATCCGATAGTACCGGTTCTGGCATTTAGGCTTTGGGTGCTGTTCTTATTGAGTAATTCGTGTCATCTTGCCAATTTACCGTTTTACCTAGCTCGGTGCTGGTCGATGTGACCTTCAACATATTTCTATAACCCGATCGGGTTGTGTTACGTTTGATATCGGGTTCGGAGGCTATCAGCTCGTTGGGTTGGAATCTTGGCTGGTTTGGTACATACATGTATGTATATCATAGATGGTGTTGGGACTGGGACCTTGGAGATCAGTTGTCTTCCAAGGTTGCTAATCCATGTCTCTCATTGTTGTAGTTGTATAAATCCTAGACACCTTACAGGGAACACAGAAAAACAAGACTTCTGAACCTGGTTGACAGACATGCCTAAAATGCTTGTTTGGGATTCGTGATACATTGGATAATTGAGACTGTAACACTACGATAGCACAATGGTTTCAGAAAAGGTCCATTTCGAATCTCAAATGATGCCAAGACACGACATTCATGTCACCGGATTCCCGTCCTTCCATGTTCATTTCCACTAGGCTCCAACAATCATGTGAAGATATCCCTTGGAAAGACATCCCAATACCAGAGAACAGCCTAGTTCCCAATTCCCAACCCTGTTCTTGAGCCCTTCGCAGCCAGACATATCACCCGCCTCGCCAAATCCAGATACGCAATACGGGATATCATGTCGAGCCTCGTCCTGCTAACCAGAAACCCCATTGTTGGCCAAAGCACCCGTCACACGGTCCTTGTACTGGTAGGGATCATCATCACGGAGTCGGCAGCGGAATGGACCCGCAGCCTTGACAGCAAGAATAGTGCTCACCAGCTGCACCAAACGAGAGACATAACTTGAATTGAGCTTCTTTGATCCGGCCAGATCAAACGTGATCTCTTCCACCTTGTGCCCCTTCGGAACAGCCCGACAAGCTGCCCTCCAATCCGAATTAAGCGTAATGAACTCCTGTCCCTCGGGGTAGGTAATCTGGTCGATGGAAACCCACTCAAGGCTTGGGTATGGAAACGGCATCGCCTTGAAGAACTCGCGTACCTCGGGCGGCTGGTCGGGGGAATGAAGAGTCCATCCTTCACCGGATAATCCGTCCAGGCTCACCGTTGGGAGTGGGTTATTTATGAACTGATGCATGGGGACGAGTCGAAGTTTGGTGGCTTTTGGATGGGTTGATCCAGTGTTGCAGAAATATGCTTCGAGGGCCTTTGGGCCTTCGAAGACGAAGGTTCTCGTCGAAAGGTAATCTGGGAGTTCGTTGAGTGGCACTGAGATTCGAGGGGTTCCGGATGGGGTGATCGGGCTTGCCATGAGGTCGCCGGCGCTGAGGAAGATCAGGATCTCGGTTCCCAGCATGAGGATCTTGACCCCGGCGGCGAGCTTGTTGATTTCCATTGTGGGTATGGTGGTCGCCATTTTGAATCGAGGGACTTGACTCGGGGACTGATTCAGATGGATGGCATGAGAGCGAAGGTAAAGCGACAGGATGTGCAAATGTTGACCGCGATGTAAATGTTTGTCACGATGCACTTCCTTTAGACTCATATGGCTAATCTCACTATCAGTTCACTTAAAGCAAACTTGAATGGTGATTGTGGGGGTTGCCTCACAAGGAAAAGTGCACACAAACACTACCTAGACTTCAACAGTGATCTGCCTAATCCGTCTGATGCTAACCACATTCCAATATTCTCAATGCAATGTCCCAATCTCCACGAATTCCAAGCTGAGCGTTCGACACCCATTGGAAACCGCCAGCACATCGATATCCGCCGCTTTGTTTAATCCATTGATAGCCCTAGACACAGAGTCCCAGTGATCTCAGAACTGGGTCATTCTGTTTGCTTAGAGACTGTCGCAATAGACTCAGCTGACTCAAAATGGGGAGACAACACGACCAGCTTGTCGGTTCCATATCCCTGCTGACCGAGGTACTTCACGCTCTTGAGGACAACCTCTGCCTCAAACACATTGCTCTTGCTCCCCTTTGAGTTCTCGTCGCGTCGGTCAGAGATTCCGCCAAAGATATCTTCAGGATTTTGATGATGGAAAAATAACACTCTGTCACAGAGCCCTTGTGGCGCGGTTCTTAGTCTTCTCGACATCTTCTAGCACAGGATAGGTGAGATTGCGTATAAGACTTGAAATCTCAGGGGCACATCACATAGTGCTTGATCAGTGCCGTGTGCCGAAATGCGGCATATGAGTCTTTCAGAAAGGTAGACGTTTAGGTTATAGCCGTCTCCTTTCTCTATTCTCAAGCTGTAGCTGTTGATCTTTGGCCGGAGCTGCTGATGATCTCCTATCAATATCAAATTTTGGTCTCTGGAGTCATTGTCGTAAACACGTGGGGCTCAAGAATCTCGCCTACTTCTTCTTGAAGCATGATGCCCGGGGAAGTATGTCGAATACCCTTAGAGTACATTGCTGCAGCTGTGGTGGTGCGGCAAATGATTTGCTTCGATTCAAGTTTTCTCGGATTTTCTCCCACAGCATAATGCTCAGTCGGTTTTGGCAATTGTTGAACAACAATATGCTGACGCTCAAAGATTCCACCTGCTCACTCAGTAGAGTACGGCAGTGGATAGTCCCCAATGCGCCATATCGTATTTTTTCCATACCAACTTTTGACTGTCATACCACCAATTTACTATTGCCTACAAATCCTACTAGTAGTGATTAATTCCTACAATATCAAGTTCTACAGGGTCAATTTCTACAATATCTCAATTCTATAGTCAATAAAACACACAAATACTAGTTTCATGAAATGTTATGCTAGCAAAATACGATATGGCGCACTGGCGACTATACACTGCCGTAAGTAGGGCTTTCTTCCAAGAACCGTCTTTCTCCTCCTGTATTTTTAGATCCAGATTCCAGATGCCGCGGCAATGAGGGGGAAGGAGAGCAGAATACACTCAAGCGTCTCGGTTCCTCATCCATCGTGCGTAAAGGTAGTGTTTGAGTAGTCTTCCTACACACTTAGTGACCATTGTCATGCCGTTTCATCCTTTAGTATGCTCGAAGCTTCAAAGTACTCAAGTTCATCAAACTCCAGATATCCCAACATAGATGCAGCATTAACTATGAGCTTTTTGGAGGCTTGGAAGGAATTATTCAAAGTATCTTTGTATAGAAAGACCAGCACAGTTTGGACTCCTCTTGACAATAAAGCAGAGCACTGCTACACTAAACATACGAACCATTAGGGCTCGCTGCCTTGTTGTAGGACTGTGTCTCATGGCTATCCACAGCGAAGTAACAAACGCATCCGCGCAGGGATATGTCAATGCGCCAAATCGCACGATGCAATATGGCGACAGGCATCGATACCGCGGCAACGCAATGCGCAACGCAATGCGCAACTTTATGCGCGTAAACGACAAACGAAGTGGTTACTAAAGTATCAGTCCTTAAATCTTTTCTTTTCTTCTTCCTTCCGCCTACCCACAGATACATTGCGGCATTAGTGTCTCGGCTTTCGTGCGTGCTGCGTCCTCGCTACCAAGCGGGTTACACTCTACGCCATGCCTTTGCCTGGAAGACGACGACTAGGGCTGTTGAGGGGACGAGCATCACGCGCTCCTCCAAGCAGATCGCCAGCACCTCCACTAGGAAATGTCATTGCCACAATTCATTACGATGAAATTGAAAGTCTGGAACCCGACCAAGATGATGCCGTATCTCGCATCAGGAACAGCCAATATTTGACTTCCTACAACTGGCTTGGTGGGGAAAAGAGCCGAATTATCGTTCCAGGTAACATCTCATGATAATCGGATCGCAAGTATATTGACTGACATATTTTTACTAGGTGAACCACCAAAGTGGACACCTCTGCTCGGTGAACCTACACTTCCTCAAGACAGGGCTGAATATTACCGCGATCGAAATGCGGCGCAATATCCCGCCCACCCCATGGAGCCAATGGTACAGGCAATCCTGACAGACAAACCCGAGTTCCCCGTGACCAGTGTGGACATCATTGGGTGCAACAATACAATGGGCAACCTGCTGGGTTTTGTACTTGGGCAGGATAGGCCCTTCAGGATGCTTGTCGAGGTACTTGGCAACACGGTCTTCTTCATCAGAAGGGAAAATTCCCCGACCGAAACTTATCCCAACACCAATGGGTATGGGCATACTTTCCCAGAAGCGTACACCACGTGGAATGCAGGTGTGGGCGGATCCCAGTCCCATCAACGGGTGATGGAGTATGAGTTTGCTGGCATGCAGTGCCTGGTGCGCTTTGAAGCTGATGGCTTTTTGCCCAACCTGGTCCCGGATACCGAGGGAACCGAAGGACAACCCGTTACCCAGGAGGAAAGCGCCGACCGTGAGGGAGCTTTGCCGTCCATCGAACAAGTATCAATTTCGGATGCGTCCTCAGCCACTACAGAAACGGCACCGAAGCAGCTTGTCATTGCCAGGCAAGGCCGACGTATCCCGCAATGCGCAATCTTTGACCTAAAGACTCGAGCTCGCAGCAAAAGGAATCAGAAGACCCTTCTGGAAGAATTGCCCCGGTTGTGGCTTACCCAGGCTCCCAACTTCATTCTTGCCCACCATACAGCTGGTCAATTCCTGCATATTCGGGTCGAGAGCGTGCAGGGTGACGTTAAGAAGTGGGAGGATACGCAGCAACCGGCTTTGAGCAAGTTCGCCAGCTTACTCCAAAAGATCGTGGCATTCGCTCGGAGCGAGGATAACGGAAAGTTTGAGATTGAGCATAAGGAGGGTATGGAGGTTTTGAATCTGAGAAAGCAAGGTGGAGTTGCCAGTGGCGTCTTGTCCCCGGCTGTCGCAAGCAAGTGGGATATGTAAACCGTCTCTCATGAGGACAGCATTCTAAGCTAGTATTCTCGCGTGGAAGATTGATCGAGATTGGTCCAGGGGGTAAATCAATTCAACATTGATCCAGGGGATTAATCAATTCAACATATCCAGGGGGTAATCAATTCAACAGAAATCCAATGCTTTTTCACTTATGATAACTGACTCCAAAGCTTTATATCAGTCTGGCCCAGATGCGTCTCGCAAGTATGGCATCGCGGATGGCTGTAGAAAGCAGAAGTGTCATAAATTGACAGCGTATGGCACTATTTAATTTTAGACACGGTCGTAGACTTGGATCCATTTCCATGCCCAGAGTAGCAGAGTGTGCAATGTATACAACAGATGTAGGCAGTAATGAGTGAATGAATATCGTACACTCTTGGCTGAAAGGAGGCCCCGCCTCTAGCTTAGGTGCTAGTGTAAAATTGGAGGAACTGGTTGTACTAGTAAATTGGAATTGAAGTCATTATTTCCACCACAAGAATTCACCTTTGCAAGAGAAATACTGTCTTTTGCAGTCCACTCGTAGAAAGTGTATGCGATAAGACACTATTCTGCCACTGCCGACCGCCTGCTCAACCCTCGCCATCGAGCTCCGAGACGACTTGCCAGTCCTGCTGCTTCAATTTCTCTCGTATTTGCGTCACCAAGGCCTTACCTCCGAGACTCGGCTTGAAAAAAAGAGATTGCAAAACAGGACAGTCCTTACTAGCCTCGAACACCGCCTCCTGAACGAAACCTATCCCGAAAGGGAATTTTCCTCTTTCGCGCGACGACAGCAAGGTACTTGCTGCAGAAACAGCAACATGCCCAAATATAAGTGCCCTCCGGTCCATACACTTACAACTGAAAGCTAACTTCCCATGCACTCTTCTGTAGGTTTTGCCCAAAATCCAGGTCTAGACAGACCAAGCCGTGTCATAGCCTATTCCGGGCAATAACGCGACACGATGCTATGCGACTACGGCCTCACCAATCGGCATATTGCTAACCCCTCACTTCAACCTATAGGCGACTACTGCGATGTCTATCTGACGCACGACTCGATGAGCGTGCGCAAGGCGCATAACTCCGGTCGAAACCACCTGAGGAACGTGGTGGACTACTACCAACGTACGTCTAACCGATGGCGCAAGACACGTCAAACCCAACAGCTGAACGATAGCTAATCATATGGATCCATACAGAGATTGGCCAAGAAAAGGCCCAGTCCGTCATCGACTCCATTACCTCCTCCTACGCCGCAGAGGGCCAACAAGCCCCCAACATGATGCCCCCGGGCGCTTTCCCGCCTCCCTTCGGATTCCCGGGTATGACACTTCCCATGCTCTCCGAAAACCAACCAAAAAACCAAGCTAACACAACCAGGACGACCAGGCATGCCCCCTCCCCCCTTCGGCATCCCTCCACCAGGCGCCCCCGGCGCCCCAGGCATGATCCCTCGTATGTCCCACCCAACCTCCATGCCCAAGAACCAGAGACAGGGATCCCCAACCTACCGCGGACCATACCAAGCTAACCAATATCCCCAACCAACAGCCCCAGGAGCCCACGGCCTCCCCTTCCCACCGCCTTTCCCTAACGCCGCCGGAACCCCGCCAACAGGTGGCTTCCCCCCGCCTCTCCCCAACATGCCTCAGGGTGCAAACCTGCCGATTCCGCCCCCGGGCGGCTTCCCGAACTTCCCTGTTCCTCCGCCAGGCGCGCCGGGCTTCCCGCCTATGCCTGCTCAGCCCGGTATGGCGCCCGGTGGTCCGTCGCCAATTCCTACTGGACCCCGTGGCATGGAGGGGTATCCTCCTCCCCCTGGAGGTGGGCCTCCTGGTGGGCCTCCTGGTGGGATGGATCAACGGTGGTGATCATAGTCACGATTTCGGGGTTGCTTCGTATATGGTTTATTTCTGATACCTTTTCTTTTCTGTGGGGATGTGTGGTGTCGTGGGCATGGCATGGCATCTCTCATGGGTCTTTTTGCTCTTTACTGTTAGTGTAAAATAGCGGTTTCTCTTTTTTTACGTCTCTTTACTTTTCGTACGTTGTGTTTCGTACAAGATGGTCTCTTGGGGTTCTGGTCGATTTCGGCAGGTTGTTGTCAGTTCATGGAATTGGATTCTTTACGAAAGATACATTGCAAAAAGAAAAAAGACTTCAACATCCGCATTGTTTCGCAGAAACTGCTTTCATATATATACACTAAGATTACATCCAGATCACTGGTGTATATATACATGTAGGGAGAGAAATGCTGCCCAGGTGAAAACCGGAGAAATTGGAAATATATTTAATTGGCAGCAGGCAAACTGCCAAGCCAACAATAATAGAGAACCCCCAAGGCCAATCACCATATCCAGAATGCATCAAAGAACGCCAGGCGGAAGTAAAAACAAGGGAAACGCACAGCAAAAGGATTTAGACCAGGGAGAGGAAAAAGAAAAAATAAGTGAGAAGAAGTAGAGAGAAAGGAAGGGATAGATGACAAAAAAAGCTCACACCATTAACCAATGGAGTGAATTAAGAAAAGAAGTTTATCTGAAGCGACGAGGATGCTGCAGACTTGTGTAGAAGCAAAAAATAAAAAAATAAAACCCCGGACCCAGAAGGAATGGCAAATGGAAAATCATAGACCATCGGTATCCCGCGCTAAAACAAAATCACATATCTTCATCTCGGAAGCGACAATATAATAGACCACTGGCAATTTTTTAATGGTCATAGCCAGCGCCCCGTTGCCAAGGACTGGCGTTGTTCTGGGCTCGATAATGTGTCGCCAAAGCAGATTGACCAATAGGAGAGTTGTTATCAAAGCTCCTTCCGGCGGGTGAAGGGGACCGACCAAACTGGTCGTATCCGGGGGGAGGATTGTGATGACCTGACACGTTGCTGGGGAATAGTGGCACAGATGGGTCGACGGGTGACCGAGGCGCTTGGGCGGCAGAGCCGTGGGGTGGATAGGTTGATTCCATTTGGCGGCCGACGGTAGCACCGTTTCCACTGGAGATGGAAGCGGTATCATCGTCGAATGGGTTGTTGTTATATTGCCCAGGCTTGACATCACCACGTGCTGTAGCGCCCAAGGCATCCAATTCAGTTGTCAGCTGGGTTTGGGACTTGATGAACGAGCCACGATCGTCGCGCATGGGCTGGTAACGAGTATCGGGGTTCTTGGACACAACGGCATAAACCGAGGCGATCAGAACCAGGATCAAAAGGACCAAAGCAAACACGGCATTGTAAACGAAGAAGATGACACCCATGACACCGATCATCATTCCGGGGGGGGTCGAAGACATCCGAGAACACAAGCAGGAAGATGGAGTTGAGGAAATTGACCACAGCAATGGAGATATTGAAGACGTTAGTCTTCTTATCCATCCAAGGACGGAGAATGCAGACAGCAACCAGCATGGCTAGCTCAAGGATCACCAAAGCCACTGTCTGAACGACCGGTGCAGGCTGGCTCAGACCGATGAACATGCCCTTGATCAAGGTGTAGATGAGGAATGGAACGACGAAATAGTATGCCGTTGCTCGGTATTGCACATACAAGAAGCCCCACTTGTTCAGACAGGACGGATCGGAGTAGAGAATGTATGCCGGGTTCTTGTGCATGGTGACTGAACGTTTTGCCAACCGAATAACCTTCTGAGAGGCCCAACCAAGAGACACGAGCATAGAAAGGATCATGACCGCTGCCAAAACAACCTCGGCGGGTGAGTCACGCTGGGTGAACTCCCAGAGGCAAGAAACGGACATTTGGGGTAGACCGATGAGAGTCAGTCGGAACAAGATACCACGCAGAACTACCTTCCATCCATTGCGGAAATCCTGGAACCGCTCGCTCTTCATTTTGCCATGTTTGACAAGTAACTCAGTAATTCCCTTGAAGGCTGTAACGATAATGATAACAATGCAAGTGAAGACCGCAAAGAAAATCAGGCCAGTGAGGAAAATGTTGGTCTGCTCGATGTGAGCACGGAATCCAACACGCTCAATTCCTCGAATGACAAGAAGTTTCTGGCCTCCTTCGGCTCTCTTGACCATACCAGTTGCCCGCTTGATAATTGGTCCCGTTGCTCTCTTCAAGAGGTTCATCGCTGGGTCAACCAAGTCACGCTTGCGGCGCTTGAGGACTTCCACAGAAGTATCCTCAAGCTGCGACATAATTGTCGATGGAGTTCCACCAGTTGCCCGCTGATACCAGGTAGCAATCTTCTGGATGAATCCTACGCGGATGATACCCATGCTCCATTGGAAGTTCTGGGTCCAAGCTTCCACGATCGGAGGCATATGAACGGAGGTCATGCCAATCATCGCTTGCGACTGCATAAATCCGAAAAGAGAGAGCGCATTTGCCGCGACGTGAGCCGCAGTGTTGGAATGACCTAGTCCGGAGGTAATGGCGGATGCAGCGAGACCTAGTCCGGAGATGACGGCAGTTGTCCACGAGACTCCGGCTTGATTAACGGTCTTGCCGTTGGAAAGCGAGGCCTCGACACAGGCAATCTTTTCATTGGTGTCGAGTGTCTTGATGACAATCCGCACATTTGCGTCAAGATCAGGCACGGTGTAGGCAATACCAGGAATCTTGTCCGAAGTGCCTTCTGGCAGGGGAGAGAAAGCGGTCCCAAATCCATGGGTCCGGCGGACATGGGGCACATACCCATGCCAGTAATCGAACAAGGATTAAGGGTGTTCTTGTATGCCTCGTAGCCATATGCGGTAAGGGTCATCTCCGCAACAACCTTGCCCTCGATGTATGAGACGCCATCGAACCCGACCATAAGAGTGTTGTTACCGGGGTAGAAAGTGACGCTGAAATATGTTGCCGTGAAGTTGCTACTTTCCATACACACGGTGAGTGCATTGGATTCAAGGAGTTTAACGGCGGAGGCTAGCGGCGCCAGAAAGGCGACGAAGCAGGTGAGAAGCGATATTAACCGCATGTTGGTGTATGTTTGATATCAGGAAGAGGTTGCGAAGCACTGGAAAGGGTTGCCAGTGGTAGATCGAGAGGGGAAGAGATCTGTCGGCTACCGTGTCAGTGGGACTCCAGAGTACCACGTTGCCAGCCGCCGGATGCGGAAGTTTTTGTACGGCCGAATATTGTTTGATCGCCGGGCCGAATTATTTCTCAATGTCTCCTTGGACTGTTACTGTATTGTATGTTTGGCGGAAATTGTCGGAGTAGAGTAGTCAGGGTTGAGTAAAGGTGCCTTGCCTTTCACTGGGGCATTGAGTATAGGCGGAGCGTAGAAGTAGTCGTAAGGAGGTTTATGGAATCCAAAGAAGCTTAGATAAATGAGAGTACGTCAGAGCCTGAATGAGAGCGAGGTTGAGCGAGTAAAGCGAAAAAGCGAAATGTCGAGGTCGAGAGTGAGTGGACTGGCGATACACAGTATGGCCAAAAAAGGAGTAAAGGAGTAATAGGCTCGAAATCGGGGGAGAAGGTTGAAGCGAACACACAAAGTTTTTCCCTTTCGATCAAGAAGAGAAGAAAAGAAAAGAAAAGAGAGACGGGAGGGTTGAAGAAGGAGAGTCCACGGGTTCCAAGGTTGTCCCTGAACACTCGCCAGTTAAGGGTCCGTGGGAAAGACACTGCCTGGAGTGGCCATTCCACTGCGAAGGCATGTGGTAATGTATTGTAAGAAGACAGGGGCGGCTATCTGGAAACCAATCACATCACTGTATTTAACTGTATTGATGTTTTGGTTTGTTCCGTATGACTACCCATTGGCACTTTTCCCCCTTCAACCCTCTACAGAATGCCATCTCCAAGCCTATATATGTTTCACTTGCTTTTATTTCCTTTCTTTCCCTTTATTTTACTCTATTCACTCTATTAACTTTACTCTCTTTCTCTTGACCAAAGAAACCCTCTTTCTCTTTTTACATATACGTATACTTATGCCGAAAGCGGTTGATGGATGGCGGAATCAGGCGGGTCCATGGGCCTTGCGATTATAATTAGCAAAGCCGAATCTGCCAATATCAAGTATTACAACATACACTGAACCAAAGGAACTGCTGCCCCCAGCTGTGGAGTGTGCCGAATACAGTGGACCGTTACGTACAACAGGTGGTAACTTTGAATAACTTTATGTACTCAGGTATATCACATTGTTTTAGTATTTTGTCTGCCTTCATAGTTAATCAAATTTAGATTTCAGATTTCTACAACATATAGGTCCACACTTATAAGTCGCTGCCTACTCCGTACTATGGAGTCCTTGAAGTGAATTTCTTCTGTCGGGTGGGGCCCTTAGCTGCCGCTTTTATGAGAGCGCTTCTACAACAAAATTAGTAAATTTCAGTCTGGAGTTCTCACGTGATTAGAACCTTGGAAGCACACATTACTATACATATATATGTATTGTATAAGCACTTCATCCTGCAGAATATCAGACAGTGTCTCCTAAGTACTGTCTAGCACTTTTAGCAACGCCAGTGGTTTATATGATGGAAGATCAACATCTGGTCTAAATCGATCAATCTCTTCATGCCTGGAGTAATATATTGCACAACAATCGGCAAGCGTTAGGGATTTGATCTAATCATCGGGAAGGGAAGATATGCAACTACCTGCGGAAGTAGAGTATCATCCTCTTTTGGACCTGTTGAACTCAATGAGCAAAAAGTGAAAAGAGAGAAACACCAAAATGGAAAGCCAAGAGTGCTTGGCTGATATCTTTGCCTTCATTTTTATATTTCTAATGGATTTAGATCCGGCGGTAAACTCTCCTGAGCACTGATATAAAGCTAGTTAGAGCTAGGTTAGGAGTATGCACATCGTAGACATTACTAGTATTCTTAGTGTACCCCAGGGTTCTAGAAGCGGGAAGATCATTAGACTATTTTACCTCTTTTATTCTTCATAGATCCAGAAATTTTTCAATGGCAACCCTTTCTATTCCGTTTGAGAAGATATACAACATAAAAGAAAATAAACATCAACAGGTTGCATACACATGGTATAAGGATCGACACAGTATGCCAATCAACTGACATTAGTGTTCACGCGATTGCACAGCCTCGTTTGGCAGAGGCCCCATCATCTTCATCGTCCGGCTGGATCACACACGTTTCAGAAATAAAGGAACCTCCATATGCATGGACCATTAGTGAGCTTGGTATAATTGTGTCAAATCATATCCCCTCCCCCCTTTTACTATGAATTTTTTCTAGCTTGCTTAGTGTATTCTACTCCGTACTATCACCCCTGATCACCAGAAAAGGATGATCAGAATGATCACGTATTCTCATTTGCGCGTCATGACGTCTTGTCTTCCCGCTCAATCTCTGATCTCACCTGGTATAACATTGTTATAAAATGGCTACGATGTGCTAAATGAGATATTGAAAGGGGCTCCAGATCTCGGGACCTCATCGTATTCGTATACGACCCTCTAGTACTAGTTAGTATGTATTTCCTACAAAGTAAACTGTCAGGCACTTGAGCCACCGGTGGTCTGGCTACATCGTCCACTGGTCATTTTTGATCCACTGACATTGTCTGATTCGCGGCTTAATCATTGTATACCATTGGCTAGAAATCTCTGTCTTGGCTGCAATTGGATTGTTGAAGGTATACGGAGTAGTTAGGGAGTACTTATATCTATTTGTTTGCAAATTTATACTTGTCATCAGTTTTCTGTCGCAATGTGCAAGCAATACTCAGATTTCTCTTTAATGCTTCTTCCAGGGAAAATGAGCGCTGATACTAGACTGTCAAGCTAGGTAATCACTGTCTTAGTAACTCTTATTGAGGAATAGAAGCCGACTTGGCTGGAAACGCGACCAGAACTCAGCCAGGGCAATTTATACATGCATGTAGAGTAATCCGTAAGGATACCGAAGACCAATGCCCCTAGAAATGCCCCTAGACAAAGACAAAGCTCTTCGCATGATAGATGTGTGCGACGACTGAGCAGTCACTTGTTGTGCTCCGTATGTTGTAAACATGTCACACATACCCCGATAACTCAGCTGCCTAACTTAAGGCCAAGATAGCGGCGCTTGCACAGCCTACAGGCTAACATTCCGTCCTTGTTCCACTATGTAAAGCAGGGGAACCCACCAGGCGCGTATCCTTCTCGGCATCACTTATTCTCGGGTGCAAAAAGAATTGATAGTTAATATCTAAAATATGGGGACCTTAAACTTGAAACACATGTGGTCTTTGTTGTCTCGAAGTGCTACATCCAAGTTATGATCAAAATAGGAGATGGCCAACCTCGTGAGCAAGGTCAATAGTTAATTTTAACTGCCTTACATATAAGGCATCAATTGACCGGGCCTAGTTATCAGCACGTGATGTGGAGTTCTGCCACATTTCACCGATTAGAAAAAAAAAAGTAGCAGAATGATTTCCGCCCGCAGAGATCAATAATCTAGACCTGCAAAACACAAGGTCCAGATACGAGACAAACCCTTGATTGCTTTGATTCAGTGCCAAATACTGCACTGTTGCAGGACCAATCAACAAAATGCCTGGCCCCGTGGACACCGCAAAGTCCATCAACAAGCGCAAGAGAAAACACGGCTCGAAAGCAGAGAGCGATGTCGCCAAACCCGTGGAAGCCAAATCCAGCCCTGCAGTGACCCCGAAGAAGAGTGCTGCTTCGACCCCGAAGGCTTCAGCTGAGAAGGCTACCAAGAAGCGCAAGGTTAGCCCTTCACCAAGTGCCGAGGAAGAGAGCGCCGACGAGGCCGAGGCCGTTGAGGATGTTGAGGTGGATGCGGAGGAGGACGATAATGCCGAAGACACCGCAGCTGTGAACGGTACGGATCTTCCTACTATGGAAGATGTCCGTTTGCCCCAGACTGAGGGCAAGCTGCAGAAGTTTACTGAGCTTAACCTTTCCGAGAAGACCATGCAGGGTATCAACGACATGGGCTTCACGACCATGACCGAGATCCAACAGCGTACCGTTCCTCCTTTGCTTGCCGGACGGGATGTGCTCGGTGCTGCGAAGACTGGTTCCGGAAAGACTTTGGCCTTCCTGCTCCCCGCGATTGAGATGCTGCACGCCCTGCGCTTCAAGCCCCGAAACGGTGAGTTCTCCCCCCCCTTAATGCCTTTATCTGATATTTCCTTGCCATTGAGAATGATGACTAACTGTTTTGATGCAGGTACTGGTGTTCTCGTCGTGTCTCCTACCCGCGAACTCGCACTGCAGATCTTCGGTGTTGCCCGTGAGCTCATGGCCCACCACTCGCAGACATACGGTATCGTGATTGGAGGCGCCAACCGTCGCGCTGAGGCCGAGAAGCTGATGAAGGGTGTCAACCTGCTCGTTGCGACACCCGGTCGTTTGCTGGATCACCTCCAGAACACCCAAGGATTCGTCTTCAAGAACCTGAAGACCTTGGTCATTGACGAGGCAGACCGGATTCTTGAAGTCGGTTTCGAAGATGAGATTCGTCAGATCGTCAAAATTCTGCCCTCTGAGGAGCGCCAAACTATGCTCTTCAGTGCTACACAGACAACTAAAGTCGAGGATCTGGCCCGGATATCCCTGCGCCCCGGACCGCTTTACATTAACGTCGACCACAGCAAGGAGCACAGCACAGTCGCGGGTCTGGAACAAGGCTACGTAGTGTGTGAGGCAGACAAGCGTTTCTTGCTTCTCTTCTCATTCCTCAAGCGTAACCTTAAGAAGAAGATTATTGTCTTCTTCTCGAGCTGCAACTGCGTTAAGTACCATGCCGAGCTTTTGAACTACATCGATCTCCCCGTTCTGGAATTGCACGGAAAGCAGAAGCAGCAGAAGCGGACCAATACTTTCTTCGAGTTCTGCAATGCTAAGCAAGGTACCTTGATCTGTACTGATGTTGCTGCTCGTGGCTTGGATGTATGTTTCCTAACCCCCATTACCACGTCTACTCCATAACTGACTCAAATTCCAGATCCCCGCTGTCGATTGGATTATCCAGTTTGATCCTC